CTTCCATTGCTTCCAGGTTTTCATGGTGGTCTAGCTTCAACTGACTCATGGTCTCAACTATTGAAGTTACCATAATATCCGCAAAAACCCCTTCTGATACTAATCAGCATATGCTCACTAGTGACTGGCTTCAAGATGTATATCCTGAAGTTCTAGTGAGAAGCAGTGACCAGTGGAGTTGAACTGGGTCAGTTGTGAGATAGTAGCTCACTGAAAACATTGGTGGATGTGTTGCTCAATTTCGTGAATTAGTTGAAGTTAAACATTAACACCGTTGGATGCCGGCCAGCTCAGTGGTCTAGAAGTTAAGCGCTCGCGCGCAAGACCAATAGGTCCTGGGCCCGAACCTCGCGAGGCGGAGTCGTGGATGTGCACTGCTGGGGAGTCCCACAATAGGACGAAAAGTTTGTCCAGTACTTCCAGGTCTTCCATTGTGGTCTAGCTTCAATTGACTCATGATCTCAACTATTGAAATACCCAATATAAATTTCAAAAGTGAAAGTCATTGGCTAAAAATGTAGATATCCATTGGGAAATTAACAATTATTACATGTATATAACTAAAATAATGAAACTATGAGTTAAATATTACATAAAAGGAATTAAAATGCAGATTATGAAATAGGCGATTAGTTATTTTCACTCATTGTAACAAGTGTTAAATACAATATTCTAGAACCTTAATATAAGAATCAAATTAAAGAAATCAGTATAGAAAACAGGTTGTTTTACCAATAGCAATATCTGTTCATTTTATCTCTTGAGTTGTAGCAATGGTAGCAGTATATAAAATCTTTCACAAATCATTCTACATGAGGTTTATAATAATTCTATGTTAAAATTATATTTGAAATAATTTCATCAATTGAAATTTAAAATAATTCCAACATTTCGTCCAACAAACTTCTCTGAACTTCTTCAAAATTATCAAAGAAATATATATAGGGTTTAACAATCAAATCTATACTGTGCTAATCCAATCATATTTGGATGTTGACTTTAGTAAATAAGATAACATGAGTCAGTTAAATGAGAATCATGTGAAAATAAATGACTGGAAGAATTGTGTGTGTATGTATGTGCAAGATTGAGTTATTAATGAATGATATTTTGTGTTAATTTGTTTTTATATGAAGGAATAAATAAAAGTGCAAGTTCAAGGTTGAAAAATTGTTTATAGATCATCGATGTGCATGTCAAATGAGAATCATCAAATGTATAATTGTATTGCTAAAAATAACTCACATTAATCTCAGTCAAAATAACGATACATATGAAATAAGCAGGTTGAACAAAGAACGGGTTCAATTACTTGTTAATGAATATTTGCCAAGTATTTGCTAGTTGAATACCATCCTTTCGGTTCAGGCTGTTCTTGTTCGTCCATATATACAGCGTTTCTGTTGTCAATCTTTCTTATATCATGTTTGTTTAGAATCCTCTTGATTTCTTCCGATGTTTCACTACGGTATGAAATGACCACGGTGGACTTTCAAACCCAGTTTAATTTTTCTTTTAGTTCCAATAATCCTCTTTAAAAATGTTTTGGGTAGTTGTTATCCCTAAGTGTAGACAAAACTCTGTTCAATTCAACCTGTTGGTCTTCTCTATCTGTAACCAGCTTAATACTTCTGTTCATTAAATTTTTTACAATAGTGACTTTCGTACAGAGCGCATGAGTCGAACCATAATCTAAGTATCTCCCAGAATGTGCTGATTTCCTGAATACATTTATTTTCGACTTATTATTATGTCTTCACTCAAGCAAACAATAGAGGAATGATAGCTTGTGGTCACTGGATTCTAGTTCCTTTGCTAGCTTAATGCTCCCTGAAATGCTGTTTACATTTTCAAACAATTCTTCTAAACCATCCAGTTTAATGATAATAAAAATGTCATCTACATACCGTAACAAGACTTTTGGCGGAAATACACTTCACGTGATTGCACTGGTTTCTAGGGAATGTATGAATTAATTCGCTACAATCGGATTTGAAGTTACGATGCCCATTAGATCCATCTGAAGTTATCAAATGTTTGGAATTATGTTTACGATCCACTTTATTCATATGCTGAGTAGACCTTTACAGACAAAAAGGAGGTATAGCAATGGGTTCATCAGTTTCTCCGATTGTAAACGATTCACTTTACCCTTAACCTGGCCATTTTTTGGATTATTAATATGATATAATTGTAGAACTTGAAGAGAATTTATAGAAAATATTCTTTGTTGTTTTTCTTCATATTTGTCAACTGGATTATAATCTGACCCATCAATTATTTTCTTCCTTATCCCTCGATTAGTACGTAACTTCATTTGTTATTTAGCCTCGAATCAACTACCAAATAAATCAACTTATAAGAGATAATACTTTTATACGAATATCTCAGCACCATGGTTTTATTATCTATGATCAGTGTTAGTAATTCTAGAACATTGCTGAGAATTAACAAGTTTATATATCTGATTGTCTACATAAACATTAAATCTATAATAGAGTAAATGTATATCAGAATAAAATACCCCAAGCTTGTAATCAAGTACAGGTCTTGTAAACTTGGTTTAGAGCTATACATTCCTATACTTTACCCAGCTGCCCATACGAATGTGCAGAGAGCAATTCAGACCAGCAGCCAAATGACTGGAAATAAGTTACTTTGATCAGTAAGGAAAAATATTTGTCAAATTACTAAGAATAAGACACCTTTAAAACGGATTCACTATGAAGAGGTTTAAACTTTATAGAATGGATTAAAATGTAGCTTGGGTTATTTTTTGATCAACCTAAAATAGAATATTGCAAAGGCGCTGTAAACTGATAAAATCAATCCAAACTCAGTTATCTACGACCGTAAAAATGGCTCAATAATGAGATTATGCACACACATTGATTTTTTTCTTGAAAAAGTTCAAGAAATATAGGCTTAGTTATGGAATTTTTATGAGCTTCTCACAAGAGATTCATCATCTAGATGATAAGATCTTATTTATTTTGTCTCTCTTGCATACACATAGTGTCTAGTGTTTTCGATTTTAGAGAATTCAACCTTGTCTTTCCATGTGGCTTTGATCAAATTGAAAAGAAATTGTTGTTATATATAGTATGGATTCTTTCTCATTCCAAAAAAATTATATTTACAATACGATCCGTGGTTTTACTAAATACATCAACGTCAGTAATGTTATATTCTAGTTTGTGTTGACCATACATGTCACATTCTATGTTGAATAATACCTATATTTTCTTCAGTATACAAAACGTAGAAATAAAGTAAAATGGACGGCTAGTCATTATGGTAATCCGCGTAGAGGGACTGATCTAGTGAAAATTCGGAGTTACGAACAAACAGTTCTAGTGGTTTGTTCTCAAATGAGTTAGTCTGGTTAGACCAGATGACTGACTACCGAAATCTGGTTGAAACGTACCCGCAGATGTACAATTTTTGATTGGACTGTAAATTATGACTGAAAACTTTGGGTAAAATTGCTCTAAACAGTGCACTCTTTCACTATCTTACCATAAATTCTGTATTATGATACTAATTCAAAAATATTATCGCAGAGACTCATGTAATCCTTTTCGGCTTACCTAGTTTTCACTATCAATTAACTCCACCAATATTCCAGCCTGTTTCTTTTATTATTATTTTGGTAATTTTCAATCACCAAGCTTTGAACGTGTTACGGCACGTATCGATACATTTGCTTTGTCTAATCCCTTATGACTGAAAAACCATTCATAAAATATGTGCAATTAATAAGGTTAGACCTGCTAATCTCAAGTAAATTGAGCATTTGCAAGAATATTAACAATAAAATATGTGGGATAACCTAATCAACAGAAACTGGAACTTTCGACGTTTCATGGTCTGATATAAGTCGCTTCAGAGTAAATAAATTAATAACTCAAATAAATTAGCACAAGTTCAATCAAAATCATCATGGGTCTGATTACGTTAGTGTTATTTTCAGTCAAGAAAATCCTGTTTATTTGTGCGTGCGCTAGTAGGTATTAGGTGTGAAGTTCCTTGCATTAGGGATTCTACCCGTAAAATCTCAAATCGTGCAAAGGAACACCTAAGCTACATAATCGTAAAAGACCTACAAATCACATGGGCAATATAAAAACATGCTGTTTTTGAAACTACCAAACCGATGTTAGAAATATCAAAATAATTCAGAAAGATCTTTCTAACCATAAAGGTATTTCATATAATGTTAAGTCCCTCTACGATCACGAGAAAGGACGGTCTGACTATCTATCCGAACTGGACTGAGCCACATTTGATTCTATTCATGTTTCACACCATATATATATATATATATATATATATATATATATATATATATATATATATATATATATATATATATATATATATATATATATATATATATATATATATATATATATACGCAAATAAATGCTAACTTTACTCCAGATCACAAATGTCACATTTTACACGCCCACCAGCATACGCACAAGGTGGTCTCTCACCCAAAATCACCTTAACTAAAAATGACATGACATTGATATAACCAGGTTTATTTTGATAGTTCCTCTATACTAACCAAACTTGTGTTTTCATTGTTATTTATTTACTCAGAAGAATTGCCTCACACTATGTCACGGATTATTGTACATTCTAATCTATACCCACTGGAGCATCACAAGTATATCATTAATTTAAAATCATTCGTAATACGCATTTATTGAACTTTTAGTGAGTCTGCCCAACCTTACCAGCATTACGATTTACTGAATAACCGTACTTATCGTGTGAAAATTTCTATGCAAACGGCTCATTTCTATATTGATAGGAAGTATTACAGAACGTTGTTGTACAATATCTTTATACAGGATAAATCTTGTATGAAGCCTTAATGAGCTACGAAATAAAGGAAAACTATCAGAATAAACATTAAAGTTGACCGGAGAAATGAGTTATTCTTGATTTTCAGGTTAAGATGTTAATTCTGTAGGCGATAACAGGTACAACACTTTTCAGAATGCTCGATTTATTGACTGACACTGAGTAACTAATCTCAGATATCAACCAAATGAGTACTATTAAAAAGACATGCATTAAGGAATACGTCTTTTATGAATATAATTTAAATGCTTGAAAGTTAGTCTTCGTTCCCAATGCCGTTACAAATTGCATCTTCCCCTTATATTCAATTTTAATGTCACTATATGAGTTATTATACAGAACCTGTAAGAAAAATAATTACTAATGCCGAATGAGTTGACGAAGTAATTATGATAGCATTACAACAGCAAATAGTTCAAAAAATCTTTCAGAAGCCAGAAAGATCTAAGACGAAGAGAGATTTTAAGTTTAAGAAAGTAAAGATTAGCATTTCATAGGCACAACTAGTCACCTGGATGATGTAAATGCAATAATTAACGAGCATATTTTGGCTCAGTTCTTGTTGACTGCCTCAAAATAGACGATACACTTGTAATTTATATACAAATCAAAACAGGCGATCTGATAATTTCCAGGTTTGATTAATATGTTTACAAGTTGGAGATACGACAACCATAGTCTTTGTGCTGCAACAGAGGATAAGACAAAATTTAGTTGACTAAGCAGTACAATTATCTAATTATCCCCACTGTAGTTGAATATCAAATAAAAATATGAAAAAAATAAAACTCATAGAGCTACTGTCAACAGATTACTGCATTTTAATAACTCTAGAAAATCATTACAAGAACAAATTAATTAAGGATGAACTAATAATATATACTTAAATATCTAAGTATACGATTAAGAATTACAGAGTCTGGCGCATAAAAATGGGTCAGAAATAATTATTGAGAATAAAATATACAAATACCTTGCAGAAACTCTAAGAAACAGATTATTCTTCCATAAACTAAGAACAAATAATACATACTCTGTTCATGAACGACTGAAATATGAAAGTATGAAAGTACTATACGAATACTTGTATATATATGTATACAAAAACTAAAAGGTTTGTAATTGTTACTAGTTGCATTTTAGAACGCTAAATGAAAAGAAAACTTGAATAAATTTTAAAACTTGAAAATTAACAATGTACTTGAAATATTTTTCATAAAAAGCATATTGTTTAAATCTGAAGGAAGTATGTTCGTGGATCCTCAACAAATTCCTTGATTTTACGTAAAAACGTTACTGCTTCACGACCGTCGATCAAACGATGATCATAAGTTAGGGCAACATACATCATTGGACGGATGACAACTTGTCCATTTCGTGCAACCGGTCGATCAAATACGCCATACAAACCTAAGATTGCAGATTGGGGTGGATTGATTATAGGGGTACCAAACAATGAGCCAAACACACCACCGTTGCTAATTGTAAAAGTCCCTCCATCCATATCTTCAACAGCCAGTTTTCCGTCACGGGCCTTCACACCTAAATCATTGATACCACGTTCAATATCAGCATAATTCATTTTCTCAACATTGCGCAATACAGGAACAACAAGACCCTTAGGGGTTGCCACTGCAATACTAATATCAACATAATCTCTGTATATAATGTCCGGGCCATCAATGACAGCATTGACGGCTGGTTGATCCATAAGAGCAACTGCAGAAGCTTTAGCAAACGTAGACATCATTCCTAACTTCACACCATGATTTTTTAAAAAGATATCTTTATACTGACTTCTAAGTTCGAAAAGATTTGACATATCAATCTCATTAAATGTGCTTAACATCGCACACGTATTCTGGGCATCTTTTAGACGTTGGGCGATCCGAAGCCTCATACGGCTCATCTTTACACGCTGTTCTGCACGTGCACTATCAAGAGATGGGGATAAGGATGAAGCTGTTGCAAGACTTTGAGCTATTTCTGGAGGTGGAGTAACTGATGAAGGAGCTCGAGGTGAGACGAGAGGCTTCTCTTCAGGCTGTTTTTTCGCAGTCTCTTGGGGTAGCTTTTCAGAAACCGTGGAAGTTGGAACATCACCCTCCTCTATTTTAAAAATATCTTGACCTGCAGTAACTTTTCCCCCATCTTCAACAAGAAATTGTGTTATCACACCTGAACATGGGGCTGGGACAGGAACATTAGTTTTGTCAGTCTCGATTTCCGCAACCAAATCGTCTACATTTACTGTATCACCGACGGCCTTTTTCCATACAATATCCCCTTCTGTGACAGATTCGGCGAATGGAGGTACATTAACTACACGTATAGCAAAAATACAGGGACTGAAGTGCAGTTGTCGTAAAGATATCCTGATTAAATTAAAAGAAAACAAAATTTTTATACAATCTCCAGAGTTTAATACAAAATTTTAGAACCAACCTTTAGACCATCGAATATAAAAATACAGTCAGCAACAGTATTGGGTTATTAGCTTATATCAAATAATTCAGGACTTTAGAAATCACTCTCCACTTTCAAGAAAGTGATTTAAAATAATCTTCCTGTCGAGCGAAGAATAGACGATGAGAAATAATATATGGTTAAAGCAAATCAGCTCAACTGTTTTCCAGAACCTTTGGATAGTTTCAGGTTACTAGAGAATACTAAACATGTTTTTCTTTATAGTGAGTCCCAATAGTGCACGTCAGTCAACTGCTACATGATTTTTATCAGCGTTTAGGAAGGATAACGTGTAAACTGAGTTAGATACATGACATGGAAAATCAAAGTGATTTTTTAGACGAACCTATGAATTTTCTAGTGAAAACTTGTAAACCCTAGATAAATAACAGAAAAGTCCTTATCTATCCCATATGAGTGGTAGTAGCAAAAAAAGAATCTTTTAGAAAGCAACTTATATCTGAAAACCAATAAGCGATTTTGTTTTAGTGGCTGTATACACGGTCAAATTCTAGGACGCAAATGGTAGGATGGACCTGAAATGTTGGCAATGACTGAGTGGACTTGAAAAATAAACGTAGAGTGCTAATTATCGGAATTAAGGGAGATGATTTGAGTAGTCAATACCTTAAGTGGTTGCACTGATTCACTCACCCCGGTCATTATAGGTTGGTCAGCGAGTAGAAATAATCGCTAATAACCAATTTCGACTCTCAAAACCCTGTAATTCTTAATCGCAGCTTTACGGAGCGTTTTTAGACTGAAAAGACAGACAGAGAGCTAGAGCGACTAGAAATTGGTAGTGTTAATCGAGTGGGAATAGGTTGATATCAAGATAACCAGCTTGAATATAAGAGCATTCGCGTTAACCATCACCGAATCCAAGAGCTAGATTTTCATTATAATCTAGTTGTGACAGATCTTTAACTGCAAAGCTGTATATAGAGTAAGATTGTCTGTGTAAGTGCTTTTTCCGCGAATCATTTCTATGTTAATTTGTCTAGCCTAATTCAAGACCAAGATATACGACGGAAACAACTGGTTTACTATAGTTAAAGTGCGTTGGTGTTTTCTGAAGAACCTGTAGATTTAAAGACTAAAGTAGACTTACCTAGGGGCGAAATAAGAACCATGGTCTGAAAAACAACTCGGTTTAAAAGCTGTACATGTACGACAAGGAGAAGTGATATTCGCACAACGCTTGACAAAAATATTCGGAAGAAACGGTCGTAATCTCATTGCAACGGCTTAACTCATTCAGGCGCTTTATCTACATGTAAATCAAACGCAAGTTAAAACAAGTCGTGTTTCTAACCTATGAAAAAGGTTTTGACGCAGGGAGAGGATATGCTTTAAGCCCTTTTTACCTTCTCTGTGACTGATAAGGAGCTCAAAAACTGTGAAACTAAGACTTTCCTGAACAGGGATAGTGAGTCGTTGGTTACTTTAGGTCTGGTTTATAGAAAACTGATCGCAGTTCTGAAATGACGTGTTCTCTAATCTAGATACTTTATGACATGAAATTCAATCATGTTAGTTCTGCGAGACACCCCCAGCTGAAGGCGCTCAGTCAGATATCTGGACCAGATGTATTTTTCCTCGTTGAGTAAGTTCTATTGTTTTGGTCGTTATTACGTATCAAGACTACTGTTTTCAGTTTAATTTAATTTGTTTCAGTTAAAGTATTCGATTACAGTATCGATTCTGCTTTCATATTAGTTTGTCGTCGGTGTTTCAAAAAAGTCAGTGATTTTGTACTTGTGATTATTCTTGTTTTTGTGTAATTATTGCTAGAAAGCATTCTTTTCTAAATCAAAGTACTTTAGTTAAGGTTTGAAATCTTGCTAAAGTTTGTCTTGTAGTACACTTTTACTCGTTGACTGACACTGTGTCCATACTGTGATCATATTGTGTTTTACACCATAATCTGACTAGGATGGTTGGTAGTACTCACAAATGTGAACATTCAAACTGTTTGTTCCCTGTGGACGAAGGAATGCAGTGTGATGAATGCAAAAAGCGGTTCCATAAGATGTGCACCCACTTAAGTCCCACTGTATACAAAAGATGTTTGAAGCCTAACTCACATTGGCTCTGCATGTTTTGCTGTGCAAATAAGGCGTTACTAATACAGGAGGCTATGAGCCTATTGGCTTTGGCCTGTAAGAAGAACGATAGCGCATGCACTGATAACACGAGCACTGACAGTGACGAGTGCGTCAGTGTAGTACGTGCTGCTACGAGACGCCTTAAAAACCGACTTTGACTGGCGGAAAAGTGAAATCTCCGTTAACATTAATGACAGTACTTAGTAGAGTACCTCAGGGCTCTGACCTAGGTCCTTCAATTTTTATACTGTATGTAAATGAACTCTCAAGTACAGTTGAGTTTCCATAGCTACGAGACTCTGATGATACAAAAAATCTGGCGAAGAATAACAAGAGACGCACACATACCTCCGGCAGATTCAGATATTGTGATTAGATGGCCTATAAATGGATGACGTCTATCAACCTGGTCGAGTGTGCCTACATACATTTTTGGGATACAAAGGTAAATAAGTACATCACAGGGGAAGTTTCTGTGCCAGTAAGCCATGATCTTAAGACCACGACCCATTGCAGCGAGGTTGCAAGTGAAAGTTTTAGAACCATATGGGCTTTAAAACGGACATTCACCAAGTTAAATACCATTGTCTTTACTGCAGTATACGCGGCCTTAGTGAGAACTAAGCTTGAAAACTGAATTCAGGCTACAAGTCCCTGCTTAAAAGGCCTCTCAGATATCCTGGTAAAAGTACAGAGGGCAGTTATCCGTGCAAGTACAGGGGTCTAGGGTTTACCATACAAACGGCGGCTTGAAAAGCTAGACCTCTTTTCTATGTTCTATCGGAAATGAAGAGGTGATCTGATTTTAATGTATAGAATACTAAGAAATGATTTTGGACCTAATATATCACGTCCTTTTCCTTCCCATAAGATAGGAACACCTCAGATGACATAGCAGGTGAGTAGAAAAGCTAAGAACGAACAAATTACCCGTGGCACACAGGTTTTCACACCGAGCCATCAATTCTTGGAACCTGTTACCAGAAAAAGTGGTGTCCGCACCAATTTAAGAGAAGATTAGACACTGACAGAAGCATGCTAGAAAAGAGATAATATAAGCTGTAGGCCTTCCGTCCTTGCTACATAAATCTGAAAATTATCTCCCGGAGGTCCCACCATGGTCCACCAGGGTGCTTGGTACCTGTGTGGTTGCGCCACAGGATTGAGCTGTACTATTCAGATTGTAGCGTTAGAGCCTGTACGGTGTCTGGTTCCTCTGCTAAACGGGGTTGAGCTGTACTGTTTGGGTTTTTGCGTGAAAGTCTGGACGGTGTCTGGTTCTCCTGAAAACCAATGTAAAATTACCCTGGCCCACAAGGGTATATTATATAACTGTGAATTGGTGGACTCAAATTGTGAGCCACAAATTGCACTACCAAGATCTGATCGTAAGAGTGAAACCCATCCTGGCGTAACTGAGAAGAAAAATCTAATAACATCGAATATTATTGTGAGCAAATTGCGGGAGTCAAATGACCCTGATCCGAAAATTAGACACGCGCATGACTTAGAAAAGCTAGGAGAATACATTCGTAGTATTTTACCAGATAACTCCAAAGGAGTTCAGGTTAAAAAGTTGGTAAGAATAGGCAAGAGGACCGAGGACAATGTTGAACCCCGTCCATGCAGACTCCTTAAGGTAATCCTAGGATCGGAGAAGCAACGGGATCTCTTGTTAAGTAGCGCTCGTTGTCACGACAATTCTGACATCCGAGTTAGACCTGACATATCTCTCGAAGATAGAATAAAAAGGAAGAAAGCACTAGCTGAGCTTGAAACCCGTCGGCAAAACGGCGAGGAAAATCTCCGGCTAGTGGGTTTTCGGATAGTCAGGTCTTGGAAGCGAATGCTACCAAGGCCTGTGTGGATAGGCTGTTCTACTTAGGAGTTTTATATGCCAACGCTCGTAGTCTACGAAATAAGTTCTATGAACTAGAAGCACTAGTGGACAGGTTAAAGCCACTCATAGTAGCAGTGACAGAAACTTGGTTAGTCGATGACTTAGACATTACTCCAGAATTATCCGGATACCATTGCATCAGGAGTGATAGACATAGATGTAGGAAAGGAGGCGGCGTCCTGTTATACATAGCCAATAGCATAAATATCCGCTCCTCTACTAGCGAATCCCATGATAGCGGCACTTGTGAAGTCATTAGCTGTAAGTTGGCTATAGGATGTAGTACATTTATGCTAGGTGTCATCTATCGGAGCCCAATCTGCCTAGCTGATGACTTTGTTTTAGAGCACATTCATCTTTGGAGTGAAAATACCAGATGTTTGATAATAGGAGACTTTAACGCACCTGATATTAGTTGGACTGATATGACCACAGAAGGATCTATAAACTCCTTTGATAGTAAGTTCCTGATAACAATAATGGAGCATGCACTAGTACAGCATGTATCCCAACCCACACGTTTTGGTGTTAACCAGGGTTCTTCTCTGCTGGATTTGGTAATCACTCATGAGACTGAGGATATTGTCGACTTAAATATTCTCCCGCCGTTAGTGAACAGCGATCACGCTGTTTTGTCATTCACGTTTCGAACTAGGGACATGTTATACGATCAGGTTACACCTCGCCCAAATGTATGGAAAGCTAACATATCAGCCATTCAGGAATGTGCTGCTAAGACAGATTGGTTAGTAGATACTAGCATATCAGTTGAAGAAGCATGGTCTGTATTTAAAGGTAAATTTAGACTAGTTACGTCCCCGTTCATACCATACCTGGTACCGCGAAGACCGAATAATAGTCCACCATGGATAACTAAAACGGTCAGGAAACTCCTTAGAAAAAAGAAGAATCACTGGAATATGTTCATCTCTACTGGCTTAGAACAATACAGATCCAGTTATTGCAAGATTAGGAATGCCTGTAAAGCTTTAATAAGTAAGACTAGACGATCATATGAAAAATAATTGGTTAGGGATTCTAGATATAGTTCGAAACGGTTATTATCGTATTTAAAAAGGTGAACTCAGAGAAGCGATGGAATTCCATCACTTTTGATACAAAAAATCCGTTAATCTTAGCAGAAAATGATATCGAAAAAGCTGAAGCTTTATCCGGATATTTCAGTAAAGTGTTTTCTATCGGTAATGAGGAACGACCAACGATTCATTGTGATTGTTGTGGCTCGCTGGTGGATCCTGTAGTCATTGAGAAAGGCACTGTTTTAAGGCTACTTCAGCATATCCAACCTGATAAGTCCAGTGGTCCTGATGATATTCATACTAGGATTATGAAAGCCCTATCAGATGTAATTGCTGAACCATTAGCGATACTATTTGACATGTCTCTAAGGTATTCCAGACTGCCCAGAGACTGGAAAGGCGCTATAATAAGTTCGGTGTATAAGGCTGGGGGTAGGGATTTAGTTAGTAACTATAGACCCGTTAGCTTAACTAGTGCAGTTGTAAAACTGATGGAGAAAATCATTCGGATAGCTGTTATAAACTATGTTGAAGGGCAAAATCTTTTCTCCAGGGAACAACATGGTTTTCGGAAAGGCCTATCTTGCTTGACAAATCTTCTCATTGCACGAGAAGATTGGGCTGCGGCAAAGGATCGGAATGCTCCTGTGGATGTGATTTTCATAGATCTAAGTAAAGCCTTTGATAAGGTTTCTCACTCTGGTCTTAAATTCAAACTGGAACGTTTTGGAATCCATTATACAGTCGTCGATTGGATAAGTAACTTTCTCCATGACAGGAGACAAAGGGTAAGGGTAATGGAGCTCTCTCCTCGTAGGTACCTGTGAAAAGTGGGGTTCCCCAAGGTACAACCCTCCGTTCTCTCCTCTTTTTACTTTATGTAAATGAATTGCCAACTGCAGAGAAATCATCCGTTCTACTCTTCGCTGATGACATAAATATTTGGAGACCCATACACAGTATGTCAAGTAGAATAGTATTGCAGAATGATCTTAGCTCATTGGTGGCATGGATGGACAGGTGGTCATTAGAAGTAAATTCCAACAAGAGTATGGTGATGCAATTAAATAACTCTGATGAATCGTATGACTATACACTACGTGGATTCGTGCTACCCAAAGTAAGGAACTATAAAGATTTAGGAGTCATATTAAGCAATGATCTCAAAACGACTAGTCACTGTAAGGCTGCTGCTGCAAAAGGCTATAGGGTATTATGGTCAATTCGTAGGTCTTTCCAGTATTTAGATGATGAAATGTTTAGATTACTATACCCGATTTATGTGCGACCACATTTAGAATACGGGATTCAAGCAGCGTGTCCTTGTTTCAAATATGAAGCAGATATGCTAGAAAGAGTCCAACGACGAGCTACTAAGATGGTACAAGGTCTATCTGGCCTATCTTATGAAGACAGACTGAGACACCTTAACTTATTTCCGTTATCTTACCGTAGAATAAGGGGTGATCTAATATTGGCCTATCGTATACTGAACGATGACCTTGGTATTAACATGTCTTATCTTTTGCTTCCGTCTAGAACCGATCATTTGAGAGGACATTCGAAGAAAGTTCAAAAACCGAGATCAAACCGTTTACGTTTGGAGTTCCGTTTCTCGCACCGAGTAGTGAATTACTGGAATTCTCTACCAGAACACGTAATATCAGCACCATCTGTTAATATATTCAAAACGAGATTGGACCTCCACAGTATTACAAACTGCAAGGATTAATATAGGTCGACAGACCTCCTATCCTTATTACTGAAGACTGAAGACTGAAGCTCAACTATTCTGTGCCCGTTTGAAACCGAATGACCTTGGTGGGGTGATTTGAGTTTATGTTCTGTAACGCTTTAATTAATGTAAGTGCACTTTTCCTGTTTATGGAGCAATCATCTAATTACTTTTGTTGTTGTCTTATTTCACCTCCAGCATTTGGCCATCCAGTTCTGTGTAAACTTTGATAATTCTTACACACCAATGACAATCCTGTGACTTCTGACTCATTCTACTCACATTTTCATCAACTTAATCGGTTTATTTTCCTGGAAGTTGCGATTTTAGGCACTCCCAGTCTTGCCGAGTGATAGCATGTAGGTAATACTACAGCTACATGTCAGGTATTTGGTGTTTGTCGATAGGAGACACGTGACCTAGGTTATTCGTCAGTTGATACTCGTCTGCGAAGCATACCTGTAATCTTCGCGGAACCATTCTAACAATAAAATGCCTACAGTTGGTTGGCCAATACAACCTGATTGGTGTAGTCTCTCAACACTCGAAGGATTTGGGAAACTTGATATTCTTTACCAGTCAGTGACCAATCAATAGTAATTATGATGACTTGTGCAACAAAATGTAGATCGATAGAAGAACCTAATATGTCCCGTTTGTAGTGTTTGCTGCAGTATCTTCAGCCCCCGTGTTGTGTGTTTAGGTTCCAGGAAACGTTTGGGACCACATAATTCCGTAACATAGACATTCTGGATGCATATTACAATCTGTAGCTCGAAGGACAACAATTCGTCATGCTGTTTTTTTCACACCACCGACTTACAATCCAATCTAGTTAATCCTCTTCGTGTTCCACACTAGTTGACTAGTTTCAAAAGAAACAACGAGTTTGGTCACGATACATACTTCATGTACCATTTACCAATACTCCCGACGTTAATCTATCTTATTTTGCGGAGGCTAGAAACTCGCAAAATTCAAGTCGTAGCCAACTGACAATTATTTCTGTTGAGAGAATAATCAATAAACACCTATATAGTTGCGTCACAAATTATCGCTACACTTTAGAAGTAAAGTCCGTTTCGCTCAGCTAGATTAATATGTAGGATGCATTAGTGATCACGTCGTTGAATATTTACATCCATATATATACATCTATATTTACATCTAAACTCCTCTCAGTAACATTCAATCATTAGGATAGCACTTTGTGGTCAGATTAACATTGATAGTACAGTTGATACCTTTCTCTACTTACTTACCTTTATAATCACCCAGTTGTAGACTAGTGGTTAGTGGTAAAGGCATTCGAATTTCAGCCCCTAGGTTCTACGTCCGACTTCCCCTCTGCTCATTTCAGTTTGAGCAACCGGGTAGTATCACCAGCCCTAATACCTGGTGTGTAGTTTACACCCAAATACCTTATGAACGAGTTGTTTTCTTATATTTTTTATTAGTCATCCGCTTTAAGAAGCAGTTCGGCTGGCCTCCAGCTACTCTACGACTGCCCACCCTTTCCAAACACCCTGAATAGAACATTGCATCAACCATATATTCACCATTCGTCAGGTTTTAGAACATAGGCACGCTTATCAGCGTCCGACAATGATAGTTTTTCTTGACTTGAAAGAAGCATTTGACTCTGTAGACCGAGAGGTTCTATGGCAGTGTCTGCCATTGAAAGGTGTACCTCAGAGGTACATAAACCCTGTGAGGTCTCTTTACTCGAACACCACCAGTCGAGTCAGAGCTTATGGCAAACTGTCATCTGATTTTTAAACCTTAAGTGGTGTCTGACAAGGTTGTCCACTATTTCCATTTTTGTTTAGTTTCACCATAGACCTACTGCTGAAAATAACGTTCTCGTCAGCCGAATTTTCAGGAATTGATCTCCTATCAGGAGGTCCCCCTCCCGATCTAGAATACACAGATGACAGTCCTGTTTGGTGAAGACGCTGACAAAATGCAGTTTTTGATAGTACTGAGCAACAATATCGGGATGTTTGAGATGTGTTTCTCCCTCTCGAGATGCAAGTTGGTGCTTCAGGACTGATCTGCGTCAACACCTGAACTAATGATAGGGAGTGAAATAGTCGAACGCGTCGACAAAATAACTTATCTTGGGAGTCTGGTCAGCTCTAGTGGGCTTGGTGTGTGACGAAATCTTTGCACGCTTTTGAAAGGCTAGTTTGGCTTTCGCCAACCTACGTAACCTGTAGCGAAGGCGAGATATACATCCATCAGTTTGTTCTGTTATACTTTACGGCTGCGAAACGTGGCCATTAAGAGTAGAAGATACTCGTAAATTGATAGTATTTGATCACAGATGTCTTAGAAATATTGCTGACATCTGCTGGGATCACTGGGTGGGTAATGGTGATGTTAGATACAGGGTATTAGGGAATGATAATAAATCAGTTGATAAAGTTGTAAATCTACATCGACTGAGATGGTTGGAGCACGTATTATACATACCCAACCACCGGTTACCATGACGTGCAATGGTGACTAGTGTTGGAGATGGTTGGAAGAAAGTTAGGGGAAGCCAAACCAAACCGTGGCATCAGTGCTTGAGGTATACACTATCTGTCTTCCCTTAAACTAACAGATTAAAATCGCTTCATATCTTTCCTTCTACGAACTAATTCTTTCTTCCTGTACTATATCCTTATATGCAATCTTTCTTTTATATATTACCACCATTGAATTAACTACTTTTATGAATCCGGTGTTCATCTTGTTGTGCTAATGAGGTATGGTAACTTGAATCGATGCATATATGTGCCTGATCCTACATTGTAGCTGACTGACTGACATTCATTCGCTTAGAGTTAGTGGTGACTAGTGTCTATTGCTATGTACATATACTCTGTGCTAAATAAATCTTCGGCTCATGTTTTCTGTTCCATGCGACCGCATTTATGCTTTGGATATCTCCTCATATCTAGAAACTAACTTCAAACCTTCTAGCTTTTGGTTGTTGCAGTTTTATCTGAGATGTTTATACTGTTAGTGTCGGATATCATTGTTTCTAATTCTTCTATGTGTATTGTGAACAGTTATCATCTCGTTTCAGTGATAACTGCACTTGTATCTATTTATATATTTAGTTACTGAATCCAGTTTTTCTTTCGTCTTCCAGATTTCTGTGCTAACTAAAACCCCATAGCAACACACTTTCAAACTGCCTTAGCGGCATAATTGCTGACAAGAAGGAGGCTTATTAGTACCTAACCGTTGCAGGGCACATTTCTCAGATTATGTCTTCTCTTTTGGACTCTGAAGCTTCTGAGGCCTCTGAACTTTCCGACTTGGATGACGACGATATAGTGAAGAAGAAACTGGAAAAGCGGCCTGCCCTCGATGATCCAGATTCCAGTGATAGCGAAGAAGAAGAAGATTTAGCTAATGAGGAAGAAATCTGTCGGAAAGAAGGCGAAGGCTGGATTGTGGATGAGGAAGAAGACGAGGGTGGTGCATCCGAAGGCTCTGATGGAGATGATGCTGAGGAAATCGGGGACGAAGGAGACAAGGATGATGACGATGACGCTTTGGATGATGATGATTTTCAACTCATCCAAGAAAATGTTGGTATCAATTTGAAGAAACAGGTAATTGTTTCATGTATAGAGATTTATCTGGCTATTTATCTTGATTCTGACAGTTTGTGACGAGCATTTTGTCGGGTAACCCAGTTTTAGACATACTTCATAGTGGAATGCTATGGCAAAAACAAATATGTATGATATTGCCCCCCCTACCATACCTTAAACGCTCTAAATCAATTGGAGTAAATCACTTATCCCACCGTACTGAGATTCTAATGTGAGCCTCCGAGATCTGTCATACAGCCTGTGTTGGGCTGGCAGCACAGTCAATACCTCAGTTCCGTTCTTAACAAAGGAAAGATAACCAAGCCCCTCGACTCTTTTTTAAGCGCCGAAAGTTGTATTCTTAGAGCTAATGGTTATTTGTTTTGGATCTTTGTGTTTGATCCTTTACTTTTCAGTTAAATAAAAACTTATTTTTTTATCATGCTTGTCTCTGTCATTACTACCACTTAACTTCTTAGTGAAAGACCTAGGTGGTTCGCCTTTCGTCCTTTATAAGATATTTAAGACGATCTCATAAAAACCGTTATATTCGATGTCTATGATAGCCCTTCAGTTGTACCTAATTGTATACTCTCCAAACCGTCTAAAGATCGTTTGAAAATTAAGTTTCGTTGATTTAGAAACAAATATTACGCAAGTAATATATATTTTCAGGAAGCCAAGTATCAAAAGCTTCTTTTTGACCCTAAAATTGTTGTGACACGCTTGGAATTAAGAAGCTACTGGCAGCTACTGTTATTTTAAATTGTTAGTACATTTCCAAGCCACGTGGTAAAAGGTATTTCATGTTAGAGATTTAGCTATCTAAATATACACATTGTTTTGTGACGTATAAGAACTTGATGAAATATTGTAGGCGGAGAATTCTGTATTGTAATAGATATAATATTGAATAGAGACTTTGTGATTACTTTTATCAGGGATTCTATGATTCCTGACGGCATAGCAGTTCATACAAAAAACGGAAATCTTCAAATTAAAACCATAATATATTAAATCATTCCAAGAATCTAGGTAGTGATCACCACCACTTATGTATTTCGAAGCCAAAGGATATTTAAAATATCTATCTTTTAGAATAATCCTGGTTATCAGAATTCGCTGTTATTTTCACTCATTGATTTTACGAAAGCCAGTGCTGTTTACTGGGGTTTTAGCTCCTCCTAATTTATTCAAAATTGTATTTAACTTACTTGAGTAGTATAAAATCTCGCGTTATTGAATTTGATCACTTTAAAAGTGATCCACCTTTGCTTATTACACAAAGACGGTCTGTCTTCCATGATAGATTCACTGAGTTTAATATATCAAAAAAGCTATGGTGTCTTTGACGATAATGTATTTCGGACGCCGAAATAGTCAGATACCGTCATTATCTATCTGAGTGTCAATATCTTAATAACAAAATTTTCACTTTACATCTTTGTTCATAGAGTAATTAAATACTTTAACATATTATTCCTTACAAGCTCTCATTATTATTGAACTCTATTTAGAAAAAACGAAGATTGGTGCTTGACGATGACGATGAAGCAGATGAAGATGAAGTTGTATCCAAGAAAGCAACCTATGAAGAGGATAGAGGAAGAGAAGCTATTGCACGTCAAATCTTTGAAGACGAGGATGAAGAATTTGATGAAGAAAGAGTTGTTCGTAGCAGGCCAACTGATTTTGGTGTGTCAGTTGGCGATGAAGAAGAGGAGGAAGATGAGGACGGTAATTATCACTATATATATAGTATGATGAGTTTCGCAGTGAACTTATTCTCAGTATCCCGAATGCAAATTTTCCTCAAGTTTAGGATGATAAATAAAGTGTGTGATTCATTACAGAGTAGTGTGGTGAACGAACAGTGAGTGGGGGGCAACCAGTATATTTTAGCACAAAATTACAGAAGCTCTTGGTAAAATATGAAAACGGTACATTGAAGAATTCATTTGCAAAAGTCCATTATTTTCCTTTCACATTCTGTATGATTCTTCCGAGTCACAATTCCTTTCTATTTCCGTTTCTGTTTTTTTCCAACTTGATCTTCTTAGCCTTCGGTTGCCAGGGTTTCCACCTCCGATCGGGGTTACATACTACTTATATCTGTCGACATAGGTAGCGCACACAGCAGAAGCAAGACATTTTATCGACAGCTGGCTTAATATTTATAATAAGGTTTGCTCTGTTGTAGTATTGATTGCACTCTGTTTATCTATAAAACAAATTAAAAAACACGAAAATATTATTTACTAAAACTCATTGAAAGGAAAGTGATTACAAAAGTACAAGTCACCTTTTAGAAAGGGATACGTTTGGATTGAAAGCCGAAATTCCTAGCAGTTTTCAGTTGTCATTCATTTCTTCCAGCTAATTTAACCTTATGTGGAAATTCACTTCCTTGACATACATCCCATTAAATGTTATTCTCTTTCCACCTGATCGCTTAAATGTCTCAATATTGGTAGTTCTGTCCAACTAGCAGCGTTGTTGGACTTCAGCAATTAGAGGCATAAACTTCATTAAAAGTTAATCACCTCCTTGATCAACCTGTTTCTCTTACTACTAAGCCTAAAACTATGCAGACCACATCAGTTGAATGTAACACAGTGTATGTTGCTTGAATGGAAATTTTCGGGCTATAATAATAGTTGACATCACAGCCATCGACAGAAAACAGAGTCACTTACGATTAAGTGGCTGCATTTACGTTCGTTGTATCATGCAGCAGTTAATTCCGCTCAACACAGTGTTTTTTGTTGCTTTCTGTTTATTATATTGAGATTTTGTACTAACCTGAGCCGTTACTAATATCACTGAATTCTTATGTGAGCGAACTAAAGTGAGGTAAATGTACTAGTTCAGAGATTCATTGGGAGATGAATTCGCATTGAAAAGTAACAATTATTTAGTTTAGATTGAAGTCTGAATACCACCTTTTTGCCAATTACTCATTCGGCTCCTTGAATAGTATTTACTGACAACACTACTTACTCTTATGATTTTCAATGGTATTAGATGCACCATTTTAAAAAAATCTAAAGTAATTGTAGGCCATAAATTATTAAAGCATTTTATTTTCGGTTGTTTTTCATTTATCTTTCATTTAAGCAATCAGACAGATTTCGGTAAGATTTTAAGTTACTTCTAATGCGGCAAATGCGAAGTTATCTGTATTTCCGATTTGTTTATCTTATCACCTATAATGTAGACATGGGGGACTTTATCGTGGATGATAGGACGGGTGCTCCACCCACAAGACCTTCCAAGCGTATAGTACATAAAGATGCAGCACTCCAACAAGCTCAAAATATTTTCGGTGTTGATTTTGACTTATCGGAGTTCGAAGCATTTCGAAAATCGCGGGTTGGAGGCGATGACTACAGTGACGAGTCAGAATATGAATATTCAGACGAAGAGGAAGGTTCTAAAGGTAGACGATCCAAACACCGTCGGGCACCTTCAAACCTGGTCATGGATGATCGTGTTTACGAGCTTTTTGATCCTAGTGATCTTGAAAGAGCCTACTACAGCCAGGCAGATGAACGCATTCGAAAAACTGATGTTCCAGAACGCTTTCAACTTCGTCAGGTTCCCGTTAAGTACATTGATTCCTGTTCAGCAACATATACTCAAGATCTGCAGGAACTTTCTGATGAAGCCGAGTGGATCTATCGTCATGCTTTCAAAGAAGATGCGGAATATAAAGTAACTATAGATCTTCTTACTTATTTTATTGTTAGCCTCCTGGAGTTATACCTAAAATTCTCGAGTCCCTAAAACTTATGAGGGAGTTTTTGTTTGAGGTCCCTTTTATTGCATTTTACCGGAAAGAATGCATAGAAAAGGACCTGAATATCAAAGACCTTTGGAGAATATATCAAATGGATGAAAAATGGACCATTTTGCATCAACGCAAAAGAAATATGATTAATCTTCTTCAACGTTTGTCAGATTATTTTGAGGCTCTCACCACAGAAGATGCGGTCAGTCCACTAAAGAAACATTGTTCTTCGATACTGAAATTAATTGCATGGTTAGTCAAGTGTTAAACACTATTACGTTTTTAGTGCTCGTAGCGCAGATTCTTTAGAAGAGCTGTTCGACGTTCGGTTGAATTATCTGCTTCACTTTTCTGGATATGTCGAACCAATGAACCGTTGGTATGCGCGTCAGAAAAAGGTACGTCGAAAACTTGATTTCGATTTTTTTCCTTTTGATACTTATTATTTTGTTTTCATATTCCTTTTAATACTTTTCAGGGAGGCGAGGGGGAACAATCTGAAGAACAAGAATACGATGAAACAAATGTTGAAAAGCTATCCCGATTACAACAACTATCGACCCAATAACTGGACGATCTATTCGTCAGAGACAGGCTCGTGCAACTGCTTCATATGAGGTGGCCAAACGAGCTGGTTTAGGTGATCTTGTACAAAGATTTGGTCTTTCGGCGTCTCAGTTTGCTGAAAATGTTCAGGACCAGTATCTTCGCCATGATGTTGATCAATGCCCTATGTTACCTATTGATGCAGCTGGTGACTTTCTGTCCCCACAGTTTCCTAATTCTGAGTTAGCATTGTCTGCAGCTCGTTATATGCTTGCATTTGAAATTTCTCGTGAGCCACTTGTTAGAAAAATGATGCGCCAAATGTTTAATCTACAAGCTGTAATCAGTATGCGTCCTACTGAGAGAGGGGCTAAACATATAGACGAGTCTCATCCACTTTTTCAAATTAAATATCTTTCTAACAAACCAGTTGCTGATTTGATGGGTAATGTACTTTTCCTTCACATACATAATGTAAGTTCACGTACAAAGGTGTAATATATATATATATATATATATATATATATATATATATATATATCACGAATCTCTATTTTCGTTCGGTTCACTAATGACATAGTTATGTTAACCATCTCACTATAATTGTGGCTCAATCAGTTGATCGATCTTCATATTATTATTGACCCCACCGTCATTATTTATCCACTTCATTAATACTTAGAAATTAATTATTAATCATATATAAATGTTACCCTTCTTGAGTACGATTTTGTGGTATTTTTTTCAATATGATATTTTTTTCCCATTCTTGTAACGTCGCTTTATCATGATTGATATATAACTATTTAGCCTCGTGAAAGTTGAAAGATTCATTACACTTGCCATAAAAGTATTATGAAATCTATCACCCGGGGTATTAAAACGCAACGCAAAATACGGATTATTAACAGACTGGTTTACGTTTTTCGTTCTTATTTAACCCACTCATACATCAGTTATAATAACACATCAACGTAGGTACGGATCCATAAACCTCGCTTGGTTTTTACAAAATTGCATCACTCGTGGTGTAGGGCAAATGTCTGTTTCTATTAAGGAGTTAATACACTACTTAGCAATCCGTTCTGTATTACACCATAGCTGTGAAATATAGTCGATGAAAGTAGAAGACATGCATTCTGCATGTGTTTGATCTTAAGTGTCTGCGAACCATTGTTGACGTATGGTGACACAACGGAGTAAATAATGCTAAAGTTCGGCATAGAATACTAGGCAAAGATACCAAATAGGTTCGTAAGGCAGTAAATTCTCATTAGTTAAGATGTTTGGTACATGTTTTACTTACGTCCAACTACCGCCTATTTCGTTGCGTAATATTGATATGCTTAATTAGGTTTTTAGAACGTTTACTTGTGTTGAGAGTATTTTTACATCATTTTCATAATGTACTTATTTTCAATATAAATGAAACGGTTCCTTCAATCGGGAAGCTTATTCAGTAGTTTAAACACAAACTAGAAAACATTTGCCTAGTTTTCTTCACATAGGCATTAAGATTTCACATCGTTTATTGCCACTTTCAATTAGCCGTATTGTTACCTTCAACTCTTCTCATTTGTAAGATAAAGTTTCAACATACGGTTTCGATGAACGATTGGACGTATTTTATACATATATTAGCTTATTATCCACTAATTATGAGGTAATGATTAAATTATGCAAACCCTTATATGAAATAACTACTCGTTCTGAGGATGCGTAAATGAATAATACTTGTCAGATGTTTATTTAGTTTAATCGGAACATATCGGTTTACATTAATCTCCTGGTACAGCAATGGATTAACTTTCATGTTTAACTGTAATCTTCAACAAATCAATCAGCCATCGAATTATTTTTAACAACTGTTATCTTTTATTCAGAGAAATCGTTTCTAGACAATAGTATATAAATCTCTCTAAAATGTTTAATTAAAAATCAATAATGTACTAAAAAATAATATTCAGCAGAGAATTTATAGTTAGATCTTTCTATGCAGATAAAAGTTAGGACTACTAGTAGTTATTTTAATACTTACATTTGTAGATTATTTAAACTGGTCATTATGACCTTCAAAACATAAAATTTATTTATGACTGGTACTTTCGGGAGATATATTTTATGTCATGATGCTTAAGTACTCACTACTGGATGTGTTTAGTTATCTTGACTTTTTATACTTTAACTTGAACTCAGGCTGAACGTGACAAACTAGTGCAATATGAAATTCATGTGCCAACCGAACAAATCCGAGGTTTATCGTTAGTAGATGAGCTTCAACGTTTCTTTTATCAAGACGAATTTAGTTCATTGGTTCAAGCATGGAATGAACAACGTAATCTAGTTCTTAAACAGGCTGCTGAAGAATTTATTTTCCCTGGACTTGTACGTGAATTACGACAGAAGTTACTCAATGAAAGTCAACAAGCTGTACTGAGAGTATGTACTTTAATAAATTCTGCTAGCAAATTTTATATTAATTCATTCGTTATATAAGAACTAAGGTAATAATTAACTAGCTGAATGATGTGAATGTTCATTAGCTAAGTGAGATTAACGAGACTACCAGTTATTCAAAATTAATAGCTGGAATAAGTTTCAACTTTCCACTTGCTAGTTGGTTGTCCCTTGCTTTCATCACAGTTACACTCTCAATATTATTTCCTCTACGGATTTTGATATTAATAGCATGATTAGTCAGGGCTTGAGTTATTGCGTTGTTGACATTCAGGATTAGGTTTTTTATCAGTCTTTGTTAGCATATGTGCATTCCGTGTAATCTGCATCGTTTTGTGACAAGTTGAGGCAATCCGCACATGGTGCACATATCCCAACAAAGACTCGTCAAAAAATTCTGTCCCAAATATCAACAACGGTATACTTCTTATAGTTAATAATAGTAATATAAACATCATACCTGTCTTAAAAGTCAGTGCTTGTTTAAACACACCAGCTAGGTGGATAATAAGTTAATGTTTGAACATTGACACTGGGATAGAGACGTGTCAAATTTACGTTTCCCAAATAGGAGGAAGTATTGTTCCTGTATTCCATTAGCGGTGAATATCTATTCAGAAAAATTGTTACTGATGTGTTCTTTTTGTGTTACGATAACAGTTTTAATGTTTATATCGATCTCCTCCTCCGCACCACTACCACCACCTAAAGAAACTACCATTTTATAACACATGTTTAATTTATCGTTGGATTTCTTAAACATAAGCAAGTATCAGATCACTGTCTTTTTGTTACACACATTTCGTCGATGATCTGAACTTATGTTTAGCTGTTGAATTAAATTTTAAAAAATGTTTAATAAATATTTCTTAACGTAACTGGGGAAAGCGTTTAGTAACTGAAAAATTAATGACCACAATAGTGGTGCAAAATTAAATGCAAAAAGTAATAGAAACAATTGAAAATAAAGATTGAATGATCCAAAATCCAAGGTTTGAGTACAGATAAAGAGTAAATGGATTTTCAGCCAGAGCAATCAAAGTATTCAACCGTTGTCTCATGGACTTCAATTAAGAAACTTGTACCTCTGTCTGCATATTTGATACAAGAACCCTAACTTCGAAAACTAATGTGATGTTTCAATGTGACTTTTCTTCACCTCTATCTAATCCACTCATTCGTTATTTATTTTATCAAATTATAAACATCAATCAGTTATTTAAAATGAACACTGGGTAGTGTTGTGAGTTGGTAACACAGTAAATGCTTCGAGTCCTCATTAAACAACTTGTATTTAATAAACTAGATGGATAAATTTCTTTCAATTTTAGTTTATGTGTAACTCTCTTTAGTTTTGAAAAAAAATCTTGAGCGAACAAACAGACTGTATTTTCACTATTCACTTTAAAATAATATTTAGGGACTATCTTCTGTGCCGTTTAAACGTTATTATCTATTTATTTAAACACATAAACATTGGTACAAGGTGGCACCAGATAGATATGTACCACAAGTCATTCGATTTGTGTAAGGGCTGAGATACTGCCCGGACACCCAAACAGAAGCAGGTGGTTTTCTTAGGGGGCCACTTCCCGAGCCTTTAATCTAGAGGTCTGATCCACAAGGCAGTGGAGCATCGTTAGGAGATTTAGTCCTATGGTAGCCGGTGACCAACAATAGGTTCATGCGCGATTTATTTTCTCGGGATACTGGAGCCAATGTGCACCATTGGTTTGGAATCAGGGTTTTACAACTCCACTAGGTGAATCCTCTATATCCATCAACCCAGTTAAAGTGTCGGATATTCGCTTTTCGTCCTCCCAATTTCGTAAACAACAGTAATGCCGCGAAAGGGCAGTGAGTAGGACTTCTCTGACAGTGGCTGTGTATACGCATGGCCACGTGAGAGCATTTCGAAAGGGAGAGTTGACTTTTTACCCTCGACCGTACCAGGCATTTTAACTACTCTGTATTGTGGTCGGTTTATACATTACTTCTGTCTTAAGAGTTGCTAACTGAAGATTATTATACACAATTAAGATGATAATGCTACCTCACAGCCACGCTATCAACAATCAACATATTTTGCTTATCTTGTTGACTTTATTTTGCAATCATGTTTAGTATTATATGTATGTATTTTAGTGCTTTATGTAAAAGTCTTTTGATCCATTAGTATGATGCTACTCTGTTTTCAAATCCCTATATCTTATGCTTAATCGTTTATGTACTCTTTCTGATTAAAATTCCAGATGTGTGCCAAAAAGTTGTTTAATTACCTTCGGATAGGTCCCTATCCTCCTGATGGACATCGTTCGTATGAAATGGATACAGAAGAAACTGCTTCTTCTTTTGTCAATAATCGTCACAAATCAGATTTTCATACTAGCGGAGACATTGATTCCCGTTCTAGTGGAGCTGTTTGGCCAAAGGGAGCTCGTGTTTTGGCTCTTGCACTAAAAAACGAGGATGATAGTCGGAAGTCAATGGTGACTGCTGTTCAACTAGACTGTAATGGTGAGGTTGTTGATTTTCTTCATTTCCATGGTCTTTTGGTATCTCGTCGTGCTCCAGAAGAAATGAAAAAAATTAAGGTATGATTTCAAATATTTTAGAATACTATAGTGAATAAAATTATTTGTTTCGTGATTTACTGTGATCTTAGCGCATTGTGCCATAAAAATGTACGTAATTGAGATTCTTTATTTATATATTTGTAAATTTAGGAAGAAGATATGCAACGCCTTTCAACATTTATGGTAAAACACAAACCTCAAGTTTGCGTAATCGGGTGCGATTGCAGAAAGGCCTTGTTTTTGCAAGAAGACATTCAACATCTTGTAAACGAATTAGCGAGTGAGAGACGTCTACCCCGTATTCATGTTGAATTGATGGAAACAGAACTCTCTATTGTTTTTGCTCTTTCTTCTCGTGCCTCATTTGATTTACCTATATCGTACCCTTTACTTCTCCGTCAAGCTATCTCTTTAGGAAGGCGTCTGCAGGACCCCTTATTTGAATTCGCTCAACTAGTAACTATTGAGAATGAAATTCTTGGTATCAGATGGCATCCACTACAAGATTCTCTTCCTCGTGATATGTTACTTCGGGCATTAGAGATAGAATTCATTAATCGAGTGAACGAGGTTGGAGTTGATGTGAATCGTTGTTTGTCTCACCCACATACTGCTGGAGTTATTCAGTTTATTTCAGGACTTGGACCTCGCAAGGGCCTACACATGCTAAAGGTAATTTTTTTAAACTAAAAAGTTTTAATGATAAAAAACTACATCGAGCAAACTTTTTGTCCTGGCAATGTTGTTTATTAAGCCCACTCATTATGAAGAAAGTCAAGAGATAGTTTATCATATGAACTATTCATGAAATAGGTGTCACATCAATCCGTGTCCGTCAGTTTGCTTGATACCAGGAAATAGGTTTTATCAGTTGTATATTCTCGTTCTTTCGACATAGGTCTCTGTGAATCACTTTTTTTGACGATATAAATTAGAATGTAAGTCAATAAATAGCTAGAATTTCTCATACTTGGTTAGCTAACTACTCAGTCTCGTTGTTATGATCGTCCACAGTTATCTACAAAGATGGACGAATTACCTCAAAGAGATTATAAATCAGAAACTTATGCTCGACATAGGATTCATCGTTCCCTTAATTCAATTCTGTATTCAAATGTTTCATCATAGTATATTAAAATCTTCTACTCCTTGTGACTGATAAAACTGGCCTACATGCAGTATGACATATATTTTTGTGCATTTTGGTAAATGTAAGTAAGCGTTTATTTAATAGTGTGCAATTATATTAAGTTTACGTGTGTTCCTGAATCTGGAGGCAAGGGAAGATCTGAACTATTTTATCCACCTGGTCTCTTTTTGGTTTATTGTTCTCCAGGATCAGTTCACCGTCAAAATGATTGTTGGTTCTCTGATTAACGAGACTGCTTTATCCTAGTTAGTTCCTTTATGTTTGTCACTAGGAGCTTCTGTGTTTTTTCTTGAATGATCGATATCCACTTGAAAAGACTGTTTAGTCCTTGTATCTTAGCTAACTAATACTGATTTGTTCGTAGAAATATATATAGAGAGACCATTAGACCAACTACTTTTCCGTACTTGAATTTTCCAGTATCTGTAAATGTTGTGTGAATATTGCTAATATTTCATTTAAAATTATGACCGTATAATAAAAAATCAGCGGGTCGTTGCTGCTCACCTGAGCATCTTTTCAGTATGCTCTATTCATCGTTGAATCTGTTTTTAACATAGGTCAATTGCTTTGTAACTAGAATCAGACTAACCGCTTATTTTCAGTCAAGTAAGAACTATACATACCGTGATAATTTTAGTCTCTGAGTTCATATTATCGACCTGTGATAGGGGTCATTACACGAAAATATATTGAACTAACCACAACTGAGCCATTTTCTCCACCCCATAATCAGTCAAAACGAGTCTCATGTGTCAATTGATTCAAATGGATTTTTAGAGATCCATTCTCCTTTTTCAAGTTCTGATTATTTTCGTACACACCTGTTCACTACGTCTTTTCGAACCATATTGCCAATGCTCAGTCTTTCTCCTTATCATTACTATTACATTATTTCTCTTTCTGTATTTGCCTTGGTGTTTTTATCTTGTCGCGCTAATGTGGTGTGGCGAGTTTGGCCGACACAAAGTTAGTATCTGGCTTTACGTTAATAATGACTTACCTGGTTCGGGTAGTAAATTAGTTGACATTTTTTGTCCCATATAAGGATTTCAAATGATGGGGTACTTTACGAATGATATCTTTGTCCATGTTATTACCGTTTCCGTAATAAACCCTTTGTATTTTATTAGTATTTCTTGCAGTACTGTTTTTTCACGTAAAATACACTACTATTATCATTTTATGAATGAAAAAATATCATTGTGCTTCTCACACAGTGATTACATCTCATAACCATGATGTTTTCAAAATCACTTATCCTTTGGTTTCCAATGTTTTATACGTCTAGTAGCATTTTTCAGTAACAAGTTATGTGCAAGCTGAAAGATTTATATATTTAAGGTGTGAGCTTAACTTTTAAAGCACTTGCTTTTTGGCTTTTGGGTTTCATGACAAAGCTTTTGGTTTAGGGAGCCTTATGATATATTTGGCTATCACAGAAAGGCTTTAGTCTAGAGGCGATTATATTAAACTTGGTTACTAAATGTTACTTTTTTAGATTTATTTGTAATTTTCAGCTAGGAACTCGTAATTATGTCTATATTTCATATTACAATGTAAAATAATCAAAATATTCAGTAATTATCGAGGCACTGTTTCTATGTAAAAGCTGACCTTGGTCTTATAAATATTTTCTAAATCAGGATTTATTTCATTTTCAAGGTTGTTTGAAACTTTTACTGTTGTTTTGGAGGTTTTAATCGTCGACATTATATTTTGTTCCGTCTCATTATAGATTCTAAAGCATAAAAAAACTCATTTAACCAATCGTATGCAATTAGTAACAATGATTGAATTTGGTCCACGGGTTGTGATTAATTGTGCTGGTTTCATCAAGATTGATACTTCATCGGTACGTGATTTAGATGCAGATGATGTAGATCTACTGGATTCTACTAGAGTGCATCCTGAAAGTTATGATTTAGCGAAAAAAATGGCTGTCGATGCTCTGGAATATGATGATACTGAGGAATGTGATCCAACAGTTGCGTTGGAAGAGATAGTACACAGGTACATATTTTTTACTCAAATTGTAAAATGTTTACTTCTTTGGATAATAGTACTACTCTAATACCATTAACTTGACCATCATATTTAATGTTAGTTGATCCGAAAAACAAACAAAGCGTTGATTTTTATTTCTTTGACTGTTTCCACGCTTATTTGTGTTGTACGACCAAGTTTAGCTTCAATTCGCCAGATCAGTATACGAATTTGCAATTTTCTGTATTAAAATGTGTTTAATTTCAACATAAGTTGTTGATTAAAAGCTGTTAGTAAATTTAGCTTCAGTATAGAGTCGCTATTTAATAATAAAGTCTTTCTCCTGATTAGTGTTTAGCGATTTAGTGAATTGCTTTTTCACTTACTTTCGGTATGATTCTCACTTAATGAATGGATATATATATACTTCATAAATTCTACAAAACGCATGAGTTTTGAAATACTGACTTGATTTTCTATCCACGTTTCACTAATGGGAATGTTAGATCCTAAAGAAATCTCTTATTCGCTTATTATTTCGTCATTTTTGTCTTGTAAGTCTAAATTTCTGTTTTTTTTTCACTGCAAGACCTCCTGTAGACTAAAGTTATCTTTAAATGTTTGTTATGATAATACCCATTATAATGTAGTTCAACATGCTGGATAAAATGAGAAAAATGATCGAAATTATTGTTTGCGATGCACGTGCTGAACATTGGTGGTAACCTCAACCTCCCATAGAAGCTATTCTTTGTTTCTAAAGATGCTATTTTCTTGTTGGTCTGTGGCTCTTTTAGTCTCCTAGATGTTTCTGCAATTTCCGTTGTACATGTATTTATACATCTGTGTTGCTTGCCTGAAAATCAGTCTTCTTTGGTTTGTCCCAATAAACCTACCTTATGAGATTTGTCTTCTGGTGTAACGGTGGCTAGAAGGAAAAGAGGAATTGTAGTATCCAGGTACCAAAAGACGCCACGAGTTTTTGACGTTATTTCAAGGCATATCAGTCATGCATATCTATTATCTTTTGTTTACCAATGGGTAGCAGTATAACTATTTTAATCATTGATTGTTTAGCTTCTAATTATCAAACATACAAAGGTAAGATGTTTATTTTTATGATTCAAGGATATTGAATGTCTGCTTAACACTCATTAGTTCACTAATAAAAAAATAAATTTCTGCACACAAAACATACAACATACACGTGTTATGGAAGATGCACGTGGTTTCAGAAAAACTGCTTCAGTATTCGTATTTGGTGGTAGCATACAATTTTCAACCAGGCAGTGACTCGAAAACGTTTAGATAGAACCGAGTTTCCACCATGGTAATGCGGAGGTTCGGCATCGTGTGTTCGGGCATAGAGATGATAATTCAATTGGTGTCACCATCTTGAAACACCGACTTCGGTGACTTGGACATGTTCTACGAATGTCGTCCCAGAGAATTCCACGTTGTGCATTATTTGCCGACTCTGGGACTGGTTGGAAGAAGCGGAGAGGTGGTCAGTGCATGACATGGTGTCGTGGTATGAAAGAAAGCTGCAAAAGGCTTGCTTGTGTTGGTTTTTCACGGCTCCGTGGTTGGGGTCCGAGAGATGGTGCAACACAGTGGTTAGAGACGTTATCAGATATGGCTCGGAATAGAAGTCAGTGGCGATCCTGCTGTAAGCTTCTTTTACTTTCTTCATAAAAAGTGGTTGTTTCTTCCTTAACTGAAAGATTTCTTCTGACTGTACTTTTCCGTTTCCCTCACCATTACTATTATTATTAGTTTTATTACTATTGCACTACCTTACACTAATCTGTTCGTCATTATTCTTTTTTCCCTTTTTTCTCTTCGGATTCTCATTTTGTGTGGCACATATATATTTGGTGCCCTCTTGTACCAATATTTATGTGTTCAAATAAAATAATAAAATAAAAATAATTATAGAAGATGAAGCAATCCTCAAGTCAATGTAATGTGCTTTGATATTATCACTCAGCTCTTGACTTTTTATTTCTAATTATATTTATCATGTTTTAACGTATTTCTTGGTTCATGAAAATATGTCATTTTTATTGTTTCCACTGTCAATCTAGCATAGTCTCCATCATTTGTGTTAAACTTTATTTACCGATTTGGTTGTGCAGAGTTTTCTTATATTTTTATTGCATTTCAGCCCTGCACGTTTACGTGAACTTGATTTAGATGCTTTCGCAGAAGAATTGAAACGACAAGAACATGGAGATAAACATATCACCTTGTATGATATTCGAAAAGAATTAAATAATCGTTATCGAGACTATCGAGAAGCTTATCAATCTGCTAATCCAGAAAGTATTTTCAGTATGGTCACACATGAGACACCTGAAACTTTACATGTTGGTCGTTTAGTTGAATGTCGTGTGTTATCTGTTGCTACTAGACGACCACGGCCTGAACAGTTAGACAATGCAAATCCAACTAAAAATGAAATTAATGGTTTATGGATGTGCCCATTTTGTCAACAAGATAACTTCCAACTACTCAATCACGTAATGTTTTAAATCAAATTTTTACTTATATGTGTACTTAAATTTAGATATTTTCATTACATATCAGTTTGATTTGTATAATTTCTTAGTCGTTGGTTTTGTTATTTATTTTTTAGGTTTGGAGTCATTTTGATAATAATGAATGTCCTGGGCAACCAGTTGGATTAAGAGTTCAATTAGACAATGGGATTGATGGATTTATACCATTAAAGTTTATGGATTCCCCAGATAAATTATTTGAACGCACTCAACCGGGTTCTCTTGTACAATGTCGGGTAACTAAAATCGACATAACAAGATTTAATGTGGAGCTCACTTGCAAGTCAGCGGAATTGAAGGTATATTTTAGCGAATATTTAAGTGTTGAATTTCTCAGGTAGTATTAGAATATGTTTATGTTTCAGATAAAAGCATTTTTTACTAAAATAGTTTTTGCAAAATCCTACATTTTTATAGTTTAATAAGGTTTTCCTCAAAAATTACTTCAATTTGTTTCCTATTTTTATAGGATGAACGTCATATATGGCGTCCACGTCAAGATGCTTTTTATGATTTTGAAAAAGAAGAAAAAGATCTACGTTCTGAAGCGGAAGCAATGGCTAAAGCTAAGGCTAAAACTAATCCATACATGTCTCGTTTGATATTTCATCCATATTTTAAGAATATTAGCTATGATCAGTTGGCTGCAATGGAGCCGGAATTAGAGCCTGTGCAATTATTATTCGTCCAAGTAGAAAGGTAGATGATAGTAATGTATTACTTTACTCTCAATTTCTTAAATCTAAAGTTTCTATATTTGCAATAAGTGAATAGGATGAATAAAGATCTACTTATTTCTATGCATGATGAAATTTCAAGTGGTTGAGTTTGTACTATCCCCGGAAGTAGTGTCTCTCTTACCGTCGGTAATTCACAATTAGTAAAATGTGTACTCTAAAATATGATTACTTAATGCACACCGATTTTCTTGGATGATCAAGTTGGCACTACAATAACGAAGTGCATGAAACGGATAGAGTGAGGTTGTGAGTAACCAACGGTAATTTCTTTGGGAGGGGTTTGTAGTTTAGTTGCAGTAAAATGTCAAATATCAGTGTAAAAGGATATTTTGTTAAAGGCTTAATCCTAACAATAATGTGCATATAATGTCTCTGCAATTTGACCAGTAAACTGTTACATAATACCGATTGTGGCGAATCGTTCCAGACCCCAGGATGTTTACTTGCAAAGTAATTTAAATGAGTGGATTTCTGATGGGAAAATCTACACTTTTGATATTGAGTTACGATTACTGTAACTTGAGGATTTTGGGAATTAGATTGTATTATTGAGTGCAAAAGATAATTTATTTTAACATATTGAATAAAAAGAGATTCGATTTAGTTAAAGTACCGCTTCCGAAAATTGTTAAGTACTAGCTTATTACATCTGGATTTGTAGTTTAAGGTACAATTACTCCTAAGAATACGAAGCGTAAAGCTTGTCTTTAGTAGGAACACTACTCACAATAAAAGTACAGTATTCTAGTAGGAGTCAAACACATCCTTTCTACAATAAAATACATAAGCTATTTTTGCAAAGTTTACGTAAAGTTCAATCTAGAAGTCGATACAACGTCTGCGTTGTTATCTATTTTAAGGAGAATACATTGTGGGAATATCTGGGTCTTATATCGACCTCTGAATGGAACTTAGGTAGTTTCTTACTATTTATGGTGAAACTGAAATTGAGATTAGGATCCATCCACGTGTACAAACGCTGTCCTAGATCCCATTTCGTATACATAAGACAGTCTTTAACCATAAATTACTTACCAAGTTTAAACTAGCGTACTGAACATTAATCCACATGTACTTTGTGAACTTCAGTGATGCCAATACCGGTGTACATGTATCGATGTATTAAGCTTATAATAATTAAGAATCGTATGCTTAAATCACTAAAATTTAGGGCTGTGAAAATAATCTTGTTCGTAATATCTACGCTAAGATTCAAACTAGTTTATAAAATAAATTAAAAATCGTCAATTATCACGATATTGAGTCGGAAAGACTTTTGTATTACAATCATTTATGCATCTATCCACATATAGCAGCTCTATACAGGAAGTTTTCTTCAACTAGAAGGACATATGCAAGTGATTAAAGGATTTAAAGTTGTTTGCTGTCTTTGTCATACATCTATCACAATATGTACACTTCACCATTTGTAGGGAACGGATCATCTGACTGTAAGCTGGAAGATAGATGACGGAATTATGCAACATATTGATGTTTCTGAAAAGGAAAAAACGAATAGTTTTTCACTGGGAAAACTTTTAATTATTGGTGATGAAGAATTTGAAGACTTAGATGAAATTGTGGCACGTCATGTGCAACCCATGGCGTCTCTTGTTCGTGATGTAATGACCTACAAATATTACCGTGATTCTTCGGTAAGTTGGTTTCGCTAATATTTTACTTATTAGGAAGTGCATATATATTCCAATAATTTCTTGCAAAGGCTTGTTTATTTAACTGTTCGGAACGCAAGAGGCATTTCACAGCTACTTTGTCTTGGTCTGATACTTCTTAACAATGCGCATCCATCATCGTATGTTGTTTTGAATTTAAGGCTTATGTGAGTGACAACAAATGTGATATCATTTAATTACAGACGTAATCAAACAGCCCTCGTTTTCTACCCTCAGTCAATTCGCAACATTAATATCTACTGTAATGAGTGCGGATCTGTCTCATTCTCAACCGCGATATATATATATATATATATATATATATATATATATATATATATATATGACTATCGTAACCACTGGTTGGAGACTCTTGGTGACATGGCTCAGAATCGATCTCAATGGTGTCGCTGTATACACTCTCTGTCTTCCCTTAAACTAAGAGATTAAAATCGCTTCATATCTTTCTACGAATTAATTCTTTCTCCCTGTACTATATCCTTATATCCAATCTTTTATATATTACCCTACTATATTTGTAGTAAAGCTATCTTATTCTTCAATATACATTCTATTGACTGTCACTTTATTTTATGACGAACTGTTAAAATACAATTTCTTCTCATTTAGTAATATGGGTTATTCTATTGAGAATTTGTGTTTAAGAAATTATTTATCAGAGTTGGTTGTTAAATATATTTACGGTGATCAACTTTCAGTTTCCAGCGATATACTCATTTGTTTTGGATATATTCATTGTCCTGTCCATATGATAACCAAATTTCATCGTGGATAATTGGTGAACGTAAAAAATCAGAAATAACGAGATTTTGCATTATGTAAACTATTATATGAATAGCTTCAATGGTTTTTCCGTTATAAAACGAAAATTCACTCCATTGAGCAAATTGTATCATTAGGATTCGTCACTTAACCTTTGCCCCACAAACTCAGGAGCCATTTACACGGTTGTGTTCGACTCTGTGGTTATGGATTGACTAGTTTGGTTACTAGACTTGTGACTTATTATATTTACCTTTAAGTTATCGGTTGTGTGTAATCATTGCTCAACCTGTGGCGAGACCGATTTCAGGGTAAATAAAATCTTGTTTAGTGTTTTTTCATTAATATCAAACTTATATAATTAGCTTATTTAAAATTAAAACTTTTTGCATGAATTTATTTCTAGGTTTTGTAACTTGCACAGTATATCTACCTTAACATTTTGCCTATTCATATATTCTGTTATTTCATTCTCAGGGTGGTGATCGTGCTCACCTAAATGCTTTACTTCAACATGAAAAGAGCCTTAATCCGGATCGCATTCCTTATTTTTTGAGTTCAACAAAAGAACGTCCCGGTTATTTCATTCTTGCGTATTTACCCAATAAGAATCCACATTTTGAATTATTTAGCATACGACCCGAAGGTTTCAAGTTTCGCCAGTTAATATTCCCAACTCTCGACCGAATGATTACTTGGTTCAAAGAACACTATAATGACGCTGTAAATTACTATCGCGGTTGAATTGGTCTGTTCTCAGGATACTTTGTTTCTAGTCTACATTTCTTTATTGCTGAATTCAGTTTCACATAAATATTAATTTTTATCAAAATCCCACTTAAAGCTTGACCTATTCCAACTTTTAGTTTTTATTACGAAATATTAACACTTGTAAATATCCCTAAGTAATGTTCACAACTTTCCACAATGTTACCATTTTGTTTTTTTCGTATATGTACAACTGAATTAAAATGAGTACAAAGAAGTTAAATAGACGAAGTTGAATTTATGTATTTTGGTACAAGATGTACAACTAACAAATATTCGTATTTTCCTTTAGAATTGTTAAACGTTAACTGATTACTAGAATATTGGATATCACTGTAAACTACCTTGTTTCATGAAGACTAGGTGTCCTTATCATCAAATGTCGATAATTGTATTACGAAGTCGCGATACATAATCTTCCCTTTTGATAAATCTGTTGCGGCTGCGAGCATCTCCTCTATTTCCTCTTTTGTAAATGGTTCTCCTAAAAATACATATTACGATAACATTATCTTTACCAGAAGAAACCATATAAGATTCCAAAGCGTCAGCACTTAGGAATCCTTTCTTCTCTGAGTCGAGGATTAAGAAGGCCTTCAATAAATCTTCTTCAGGTGCAGGTTCGAATCTGTAAGCGGGTCAATATATCAGTCATTTGTTACTTTACCTTTTCTGTTCCATTGCTTGCATCATCACTGGGAGGAATTTTTCATAGTTAATATAACCATTTGGTGGGTCGTTTTCTAACTTTCATTTTAGCGTTCTTTGTAGCTCGGAAACTAACCTCACGAACAAGTGATATCACTTCTGCTTCAGTTGGAACACCACCTAGTGCTCTGATTACTGTTCCGAGTTCTCTAAAATCTATTGTTTTGTTACGTTCGTGGTCAAATAGATCAAAAATCTCTCTTATTCTCGCCTCCAAATCATCTAAAATCGGGGTTTTTAGATTGTGGTGATGAATATAATATTAAATTGCTTACCTCTGAACAATTCCGATCTCTGTTTAAAACAATGACATAAATGTTATCACGTTAAAGTTGTAAAAGTTCAATAGTGAGACAAAGACGATTTCGGTCCTACCGATAAACTTGTAAACCAGGAACAACAAATAATGTGCAATCTAATAGATCCTTTTCATACTGTGACCTAAATCTTTTGTATGTCCATCGATCCTACAGACAAATCTTCATAAAGTACTTCAGATCACCGAAAGAACGAATTATAAGTAATTTACACAACCATATAACTCCGACAAGATGTAGTCAATCTTTAGGTGCAAATCTAGACTGATCTGACTGTTCCTTAGTGTGATAATGAATAATTGCCCCAGGTGTGACCTTTTTCGGTGTTATCGTATGTACCATGACTATTCATAAACCATTGCCTTTAGGATACATGCAGATTACAAATATTCAATCTCGTATCACGGACGCTTTTCTCACGTTTGATGGGACTGTCTCACTGACAACGCTGATACCAAAAGTAAATGCCTAGATAATGAAGTCAAAGCGTTCGTTGGGTTTTTTAACTTGTGTCGATGGAATCATATGATCAACACACCAAATCACCTACTCAATTAGGTTATGTTAACTGATGTAGAACTAAGAATGGCCAAATCGAGAAAAGACAACATTTCATGCACTTGTTGATTCTGGGGTTAAGCCATTCATAAAGACATGTGTCATCTAGCTGGAGTCCTTTAGGTAGCAAGATAAGTTGTAGATTTTAAATGTGCGAAAGAAAATATAAGTATTACTGTCGGCTAATGCAAAGTGCTACAGTTACCGTTTCGATCCCACATACTCGTTAGGAGAAAATGTTGAAATGAGTCATGAACTTGTAGACACTTTGTAACTAGTGCACAACAGCCTCAGTTGTTAACGGTGTTCACTCTATAAAGTAGTGGCCAAAAGTATTACTCAAAAAGATAATGAAAGCTCTATAATTGCACCATCTGTTTCGAAGAACTTAACATGTTTGAAATACATCAACTTTCCGGATACACATATGTATATACAGAGATAGAGACTTATTGTTCAATCTCCTTGAAAATTATGCTTGAATAAGCTTTAAAGCTTGATGGTCTGCAGAGCAAACAATCTGTTTCCCAAGATCCAAATCTGGGTCTTTTTTTATTATGGAAAGGCACAACTTTGTTTCTGTTTTTTCGAGTCTGAAGGGTAAAAGCACTAGTTATCAATGGAAGTAATGATAACACCTATTGTTGTTTCAGACTGAAATTCTACGACCTAATGATTATAACCACCAAAACATTCATACAAATTTCTCTGCATGTGCTTTTGAATTTTATTGCAAAACAAAATCTAAGGTGTAGGTTAGAACAGACTCGTATAAACGTTCTTTTCGGGAGAAGAGGATTCTGAAAGAGGTAATCAAACGCATCCCAGATTGCAAATTTAGATGGTCGAAGAGAGCTGGAAAAGGTTTGATTTGTTGTTAAGGCATCTTCCTAGTTGCTATTCTTTGGATTTACTCTAAGAGAGATATTATATTTACGGCAAGGGGACAAAATAGGAGGTCCTCATCAGATAAGGCCTTAAATAAACAGTAAAAGTGGTTCCGAATAGTTATAAATAAATATATGCCAGCTCAGAGTATGATATTTTACATAGGTGTCGAAAAATTATGTTCCGTACTATTCTGAATATTGTCTTGAGTATCCGGTTGTTCCATTATTTAAAACGACGGCAATTTGTTTCCTCATGGTAACGGTACATTGATTCAAAAATAGTGTAGATAGTTCTGCAAGCTTTCGTGACGGATCAGTTCAAATGGTTGTGGACGGAATAGAAGAAGCTTTCGCTTAACAAGCTTCCGTGTCTAGTAGCAGGGGATCACCAAATCCTCCAGGCAGGAACCTAGGTATGTTAACAAGAAAACAGGAAAAGAAATTGATAAATCATAGTGCGATACTATCCTTAGTCCATAAGAGTAGATCAAGTTGCTCCTTAAAGGACTCCTGGGAAGTCGCTTGGACTAGCTCGGCCGGCAGCGAATTCCAGCATTAGACAACTCTTAAGGAGTAGAAGTTGTGTCTACATTCCGTTCTGCTATGTTGTGTCTCCAGTTTTTGGGTGTTACCCCTTAGGTTAGTGTTGGAACTAAGCTTAAGTATGTGTTTGAGAGGATGTCCAGAAGTGTTAAGGATACTATAAGCCATCAGAAGGTCACCTCTAAGACGTCTATACTCTAATGGGTAAAGGTTAAGTGAATGGAAGGGCTCTTCATAAGGTTTAAATTTGAGTCCTCGAACTGATTTCGTGGCTCGCCGTTGAATACGCTCCAGGGTGTTCTTATCCTCTTGGAGTGAGGGGGGGAAATACTGTGTTTCCGTACTCTAAATGGGGACGGATAAAACTATTGAAGATTATATGGAAAGTTCTTCCGTCAAACTCTAGCTACCGTTATTGATTGTAAGGATGCGAGTTGAATATTTATTAACGTTGTCCATAATGATGTCACTGTATCCACTCAGCCTCAATAAGTTCCAAGACTTCGATATATATTTGCAGACTCATGAACTTTCAAATTCTAGAGTGAATGTGTTATAGTATGCCGCCTAAAAGCGAGCTGATCTAGGTATCAGTACGAAAGTGGATATTAACAAGTGTCAACCACACGTGCTATTTAAAATGTACAGCAGTATTTTTCCCCACAGAGTAAATTTTGTTATGATCGTTTGTTACGTATCAAGACTACTGTCTACCATTTAACTGAATTAATTCCAGTCAAAGTATCTTTTTTGTTACCGAAGTAATTTATCGTCAGTACTTTTGAGTACTTTGTTTCTGTTGTATTTAATTAGCAATTTTGGTTCTGACAACTTACAGTTTTCCACTTTTTTGGTCGTAATTTACCTTTGTCTCTGGGTCTTATTGTATATGGTTTGTTTTTGAAATCCTGTTTGATGGCTTGGCAGTGCAAGAAAGGTAGTTGCCAACGTCCGGGTCGTCGATACCCCGTTAAAAGTTGCATGCATTGCGTTGAGTGCAAAGGACGGTACCACGAAGTTTGCATGAATCTAACGCCTACAGTTTTCAAACGATTTAGTAAGACTGGTTGAGTGTGGTTTTGTCAGCAGTTCTGCTCGAACGCAAACAGCTTGTTAACTGAGGCCATTTCATAGGTAAGTGCTGCTAAAAAGTGTATTAGCAAAGGAGGTCGAGACACTTCGGACGTTACTCGCTCCGTCAACGTCCAAGTTGATGTGAAGTCATCTCGCGCGAGCTCTGTAGCAGCTGACCCACATCGGCCATAGTAGCAAAGGCCAACATGAAACAGTTCTACCCCCAATGAAAACCCAAGAAAGGAAGTTTCTTCTATCCTCTTCCCCTAAATAGTAGCCGACAGAAATCTCAACCGCAAGGCTAGATCTTTTTCTATCGGGGAAAACAACCTGAAAATACAAGTCGCCGATAAACTATCGGAATCTAGCAGTGTGTTTGATGCGACAGTAGTTGCTATGTCAACGAGAGCTGATGAATGGGGAAAACACAAGAACAGACACAACGCTATGAAAGAAAATCTAACCCCCTATAAAGTAGTCAAGAATTAAAACATTGATCACAGTGACAAGTCGGTCATCCTTTACAAAATCAAGGAAAGTGAAAGCTGAGAACCTTGAACCCATGTTGAGTATGATATTGGGTTTATAAAACATACCGGATCAGCCAATGCCTCAGAATATCACAAGAACCACGTTGTTAAATGTTTGTAGACTAGGTGGCCAAACGAACAGGACACAAAATCAAACAAGGATGCTTAAAGTAGTATTTAAATCACCTAAGTAAAGAGCTTGATATTACAGAATGGACATAATCTAAAATCAGAAGATTTCGTCCACAAGGATTTGTCGCACGCAGACCGTGTAAAAAGACGAGAAGCTGAGAAACATGGGTGAAATCCTGGCGAAAAGGACCCAAAAATCGCAAATTTTCATGTTGTGAGGCTTCGACAAAGAATGATCCCAAAGCCACTTTGGGTGCAAAACGAAGACAATTAAATAGGCTTTGGTTCTGTTACGGAAATGCACTAAGCGGTCGGAACTAGGTGTACAGGTTGACTCCAAAAAGGCAGAAATAATCGCAGTAACAGTTTTAAGTAATTCCTGAAAAGTCTGTAGAATTACAGTCTACTTCGTTATTAGTGATTCTATAGTAATAGATCTAACCCCACAATTTTAGTTTTATCATGATGCAACTACCTAATATATAAGATCTTACGTCGAAGTCACATCATTGTCCACACTGGCTCATCGTATCTTAACAATCACCAATATATGACGGAGAACACATCTGGGCTGGAGATAGAATAATATATTTTATATGAGCAAAAGTAAGTTGTATGGAGCGACCATGCCTGCGAGGCTGAGCCATATCACCTGATTAATTAATTCAAACTTCTCGTTTTCTCCATCGTTGGGGTTTTTCTTCACGTCAAATGTTGAATATTTATTTCCCTTATTGTCTCGTGTTGAGACCCAATGCCACCACGAGTCTGCATGCTTCGTGAGACCAATCTTTACTTTTTTGCACTGCATACCACAGGTGATAGCAAAACGGACAAAGGTTGCATTTAATTGTTCTTATGACACATGGTGAGATATAAGTTGTTAAACAAGTCCAAGCAAAGGTTTACGACGATGAAAAAGAAACTTCCCGAAACAGATAAAATTAATAAAAGCGGGTTGCAAAAAGTTAGAAAATAGTGAAACTGTCCTCGGTATGAAGGACCTGGGAAGCAAAGTAGCAAACTGAGACGAACCACACTAAAGTTTTAAAAGAAAAGCAGTTTGCCAAACGTTAAGGACGGAACAGATTTTCCGAAAGAAAAATAGTGCTTTTGTTGCATGAAGAAAGTGCAAAATTTAGGTTAATACTTTTCGTTAGTAAAGCGCGCATTTTTGTAATATTTTTGCAATGTTATTTTGGAACTAGAATGTTCATATTTAAGTGACTAGGAATGCTTATATGGTTGCGTACCACTATCAAATCGGTTTGTACTCCCCGTAACTCAGCAGAAGCAGTCCAGGCTGTCAAAGTTGGTCTTCATGCAGGTTGTTGCTAGATTTTTTGACGTACTTTACAGTGCATCTCAATAGTGATTCCAGAAGATTTATAAGATCTCTGATGGGAGGAACAGATATTATACTGTGGGTATCCTATCAAGAGTGAGTTTTGATCTTTAACAATGTCAGACAGAGCTCCATTGTCAAAGTCCGGAGCTGCCTTTTGATTAAATGGATAGTTTTCTAGCTACACAGCCCTGTTAACGTGTCTTGGTTTACAGGCACTGGCAGCAATAGATATCGATCCCATTCAATCGGAAATTCGAAAGGGCAGCGTTTGCAGAGGAATTAGCCGGCCCGAGCCGTTCTCTCTTGTCCATTTTTCCGGCAGTTTTAGGTCTCTTTGGAGCTCATCCAAATCAGCCTCAGTTCTGACCAGTTTCTACAGTATAGTGTCATCTGTGTAGACATTATATGGGGATCTGAGTTTAACTAGATGATCACTGATGAATTCTGTGCGCTAAGCATATAACAATGTTCATCTATGTTTTGTCCCACAACCGGAAACACAAAAATATTTTTGTATTATTTTTGACGCCAATCTGCTTGATTTTAGTCAACACAACAGAGTGTAGCACCGTAACAAACGCTTGTCAAAGTTCGAGAGAGGACTACTGATTGTCACATCTTCAATATCTGAATTAAGTCCAATTATTGAAGAAACAGTTCACTTATTGGAAAAGAAAGAGCCATGATTCATCGTCTAAATACGGCTAGATGTATTTAATCAATACCTGAAGGTGACTTTCAGGGAATGTTTTAGTACTTACTGCAGTGTTACATGTTTGGCGCACCTTGCTATTGCCGTCAAAACATCTAATTGTCCATTGTGGCTTTGCACATGATGTGATTGTGTGCCGAAGTGTATGTCGAAAACCTCGATAATTCCAAGGTCGGCCACAGTTTTGCCTCAAAGTGTCATAGTGGAAGAAACTCATTGATGTGCGTTTTTTCTTTATGTACAATTCAATACAGATTCTTCTGGCTAAATTATGGCTTCATAGCCAAGTTTATTTCGAAAGATCTATTATCTCGCCTTCCCTTCATGTTGAATTTATTTCTTAATATCATGCACAGTTTATAGTTGGTGTCCTTAAGTGAGACTCGCCATCTATTTTAGTCACTTCGATTTGGCTCGTTTTGTTCAGAATTTTCCCGCAGCTGGATTGTGCAGATTTTCTTCAACGTTTTCCCATATGGCAACGTGGACGTGATCTTTACAATGTTTCAGTGTTTGTCAGTCGAAATTATTGGTTATTGCTGGAGCAAGAGAGAGTACATTCTGATATGGCTGTGTAGATTCTCCAGGGGTTGCGGGATATAAAGCATTATTTTCTCTTCGGACGATTATATTTGTGGTCATATTAACTGTAACCGTGCTGCAGTTACTGTAACCTGTTGGTGCTTTGTTATGCATATCTTCAACAAGAAACGTATGGCAGCAATTTGTCTAATCTATTTTTTTTATTTCCACATCTTTTACAGGCGTTCGCATATTCAATGAGTCTTAAGGTTTCCATAGTTTCAACTCATTGTCCAATTAAAAATTTATTTGATTTATATGATCAACTGTTAGAATGAGTCGCTCTTCCAATTTTCTAAATGCCTGTCTTCGTGTTACTGAGCACGTAAGTTTTAAGGTTAAGTAAGTATAATGTTTTGAATTATTTGAATTGTATTATGAACTAGGAATCCCAGAAATAACGCAATTTAATTAAGAAGTGAGACACAAGCACAAACGAATGTATTGTATTTGGAATTCGAAATCGAGCATTCAACAAGTACAAAGGTATTATAGTTCGTTCAAACATCACATCCGCCACAGCTTAAATAGAAGTATAAGTGTTTGTAATCGGTTGTACGTCTTCTTGTTAAGTTCATCCTGATTCTGTCCGACATTGTATAAGACAAAAACTTTGTAGTAACTAGAAGGTGCTCATTAGTATTGGAATTAACAAACGAAATCGGAACAGACTCATCTGGAATTGTATACAAACAGCATGTCGGTTTTGTAATGAAATCATTAATATCTAGAATTCGAACCATAGATTTTTCAACACTATCCTCCCCCACGAAATAATGTTGGATCTTTATATCCTCAAGTTATGAATAATGTGGCTTCATTTAAAACATATTTCTCACATTGTTTAGAGTAAACATCAGAACTGTTTTTGTGGCAAGGGTAAACAGCAGTTGATATGAAATCATCCGAAATGTAATCAAACTCGAGGTCACTTAGTACTCGTGCTTCGCATTGAGCAGGTTTTTCACAAGGATCAAATGGATTATGAGGATAGGTAATATATGATATGACGTCAGGTTTTGATTTTTCTGAAATATTCTCATGAAATTCATTAGGACTGTCATTGCAGAGCGTAGGATCGTTAGAAAAATCAGCATCTATCCAAACCACATAAGGTTTTCGATCATGATCAGGTTCATTTAACATATTTCCCTCAGAATTGCAAGTAATTTCATTAGAAATATGTGGATCATTAGGAAGAGTCATACCTGGTACAATAGCATGAGAATTCTGATAAATCGGTTGATTAGGAACTGTTGTCTTGTAGTGGCATTAGACCATAACCACACAATCTTCAAAGCTGAACACAAGACTACCCAGAAAATAGATATTCAATGTTTAGCACGGATAAATACCCAACAATGGAGAAGGCGCGAACAATGAATTGAATGGACTGGGTTTGATGGGATGGCATGGCTCGGACATGCAGGCGTGGTCCATCTGAATGTTACCATATATCTTCTATTCATATTAAATATATTGTTCCTTCTCTAGCCTAGCGTTGTTCTACATCATGTATAGGTAATTGATACGATACAGTGAGTTGGCGTAGTCGATGTTGTGACTTCCACGTAAGATCTTATAGATAAGGCAGTTATATCATGACAAATCTACAGATTTAGGATTAGGTCTATTATTAGAGCAGCACTAATATCATAGTAGGTCATAATTCTACAGTCTCACAAGAATTCTGGATTCCATTCAACTCTGAACTGCCATATGACTCTGCACTGTCTTTTGAAATCGTTGATAAAGATAATTGATCATCATGAATACTCGACTCAGTAGAATCAGAATTACAAGACTTAATATTAGTTACAGTAAGATGAACATTAGCATTACAAACTGACTGAACTTGTCCGATATCACGACATTTGAAGCACTTAGAATTACGAAATTTACATGAATAAGAAGAGTGGAACTTGCAACAGGACAAACACTGACCGAACTTGTCCCCATCCTCGTGAACTGCATCCAAACTCAATAAATTGTCTGCATAACCTTGAGTATGCACTGGGTTGGTATGACGTAGTAATGTAGTGGCGTTTTTTATACCATTTTACGAGATCTTCCTCCTTTACCGCATTCGAAATTTGTATAATTAACATAGTCTAGCAGCAGTTCTTTGAGAGTTGTAAAAGGAAGCGAAATGGGCTTTCCCGGCATAGACAGAGTTATAACTAAGCTGTATGCTTCTTTTCCAATGAATGTGAGGAAGTGTGCCACAATATAAACATCCTCAGCATTTTCCTTGGTCATAGCCCAGATTTCGAACCTTTCAAAGTAATCTTCAAAAGCTTCAGAAGTTGAATGAATATCTAACTTTTCCACTGTAGGCTCCATTGCGACGCCAATATAATGTTTTGAATTATTTGAATTGTATTATGAACTAGGAATCCCAGAAATAACGCAATTTAATTAAGAAGTGAGACACAAGCACAAACGAATGTATTGTATTTGGAATTCGAAATCGAGCATTCAACAAGTACAAAGGTATTATAGTTTGTTCAAACACCACAGTATATTTTTCAAGAGGTAAGTAGTAACAAATTTCAGGTAACATTTATGAGAAAGTTTTATTTACTTGGAACCGTGATAACCATGATGATGTGGCTACCCAAAAGTTTATTCCTTCGTCATGAAGTCATAGATAAGTGTTGAAAGGAGTTTTGTAGATGCGCAGTACCTGAAAAGCGAATGAAACCTCGAACTATCAAAATAGCTTACAGGATATCATTAGTCAGAAAGAATCATAGACGAAGTTTAAATGACATCAGTTTTATTCAGTAGCCTTAAAAATGGACAATCCTAAAAGCTTTTATGACTAAATAACCATGCGAAAGTTTCGTGTTATTGCTCATCCGTTTGCTTTCCTTTCTTGGAATGAGTTAAGATCACGAAGTGCCTGAAACTTGACCAAGAATTCTCAGACAGAAAGTCTCCGGGGTTGATGATATTTCTTTCATATCTATTCACGAAGAGTGTTTATGTTTTCTTATATATAAAAATACCAGCAGCTCGTTCCGTGTTTATTCAGGCTTATCTCTTTGGCGGTTCTTTTGACATTGTGTTGCCATGGCTTCATCTAGTATTTTAGTTGAGACGGGTTCTGTGGTTAGTTACTGTATAATGTATGTTTTTGATGCATCATCGTACAAGTAAATTGGTTTTCATTCATCGGCTGTTATCAATAAACCTGCTAGATGCTTTGCTAAGTGCTGAGCTTATGACCGTATAGGAATTCCCATCAGTTAACTGATAGCTAGAAAAACCTGTCAGTTTTAATGGTGAGACCATAATTTATGGACGACCTGTAAAACGCTGGAATGGCCTTGAGAATGCCTATTTGCTGATTATGGTTAAATGAGGGTTTCGAACGTTTATGGAGCATAAGGACTGTTTTACTGTTGATTGTTAGGGATGAGGACTAGATTTAGGGTTTTCATCACGAGTTGACATCAGCTAACATGCCAACACGCTATTTAGCCAAATGGATCAGGAATTTTACGCTGAAATCCAAAACCTGTTGTCATAAATCTGGCTGGCTCGTCCATTAACTATGGCTTCGCCGTTCTAATATTTGTTAAATCTAGGAAACCTGTTTAACATGGGTCATTCATCCTTCTTGTCTTTTAAAATCGTCTGTTATGTCCTAGATGTTATGATACGGTATTACTGAGGAATGTCTTAGGTCCAAAACCAGTTAATATTTTGCCGATCAACATCTGATCAACTCCTATGGTAAGATGGCGGAGACTTAACTTCCTCAGCTACCCTATGTATGGTAGGCTTTGTAATTCTAGAGTTATATGGGTAGTTTTCCTCTGTACCTTTGCAAGACACCCGAGTCATCTCTTAAACAGGTTTGCAGCCTGAAAACATTTTTCAAGTTTGGATATCACTAAGGTTGTCTATTCTTGGGACTTGGAAAATGCCCGCCCCAATGTTCATGGGATTGTGAACCCCATGTCTTCAATATCGCAGTAATAGTTTGTAGTTTTGATATCTTAGATTAATATTACCCCTAACTTGTCATGAGACAGGACTAAGAGCACAGAAACTTCCCTAATGTTGTAGCTATTTACCGTTGTATCTCCAATGTATATGTAGATACACAGCTGCATTGTTAGGCATCAGTCACAATTTAGACCAGTTAGCCATAGTGCACTTGTATCTACATCCTTTTTTGCTTCACGCCAGATTTTAATGTCAGCGTAAAGTAGCATTGGACTGTCCACTATCTACGTTTCTGTTTTATTTCATCATAGACCTACTACTGGAAACAACGTTCTCGTTGACTGAATTTTCGGGAATTGATCTGCCAGGAAGTCGACCTACTGACTTGGAATATGGAGATGACATAGTCCTGTTTAGTTAAGACGCCGGTAAAATGCAGTTTTTAGATAGCACTGAGTCAGTCAGCTACAACGTAGGACCAGGCACATATATCCATCGATCCAATTCGCCATACCTCATTAACACAACAAGATGAACACCGGATTCGTAGGAGTGGTTAAGTTAATGGTGGTAATATATAAGAGAAAGATTGCATATAAGGATATAGTACAGGAAGAAAGAATTAGTTCGTAGAAGGAAAGATATGAAGTGATTTTAATCTTTTAGTTTAAGGGAAGACAGAGAGTGTATACACCGACACCATTGAGATCGATTTTGAGCCATGTCACTAAGAGTCTCCGACCCCTCCTTACGATAGTCACGTGGACACCAACCAAGTAGTCTGCATCTACCGACATGGCTCAGACTAGAAGTTAGTGACTTCAAACACTGATGCCACGTTTTGGTTTGGCTTCCTCTAACTTTCTTCCAACCATCCGCAACATCGGTTAGCATTGCACGTTGTGGTAATCGGTGTTCAGGCATACGTAACCCGTGGCCGAAGCACTGAGCAACAATGCCAGGATGTTTGAGATGTGTTTCTCCCTCTCGAGATGCAAGTTGTTGCTTCAAGATATTTTTGTTTAGTTTCATCATAGACCTACTGCTGAAAATAACGTTCTCGTCAGCCGAATTTTCAGGAATTGATCTCCTACCAGGAGGTCCCCCTCCCGATCTAGAATACACAGATGACAGTCCTGTTTGGTGAAGACGCTGACAAAATGCAGTTTTTGATAGCACTGAGCAACAATATCGGGATGTTTGAGATGTGTTTCTCCCTCTCGAGATGCAAGTTGCTGCTTCAGGACTGATCTGCATCAACACCTGAACTAATGATAGGGAGTGAAATAGTCGAACACGTCGACAAAATAACTTATCTTGGGAGTCTGGTCAGCTCTAGTGGGCTTGGTGTGTGACGAAATCTCTGCACGCTTTTGAAAGGCTAGTTTGGCTTTCGCCAACCTACGTAACCTGTAGCGAAGGCGAGATATACATCCATCAGTTTGTTCTGTTATACTTTACGGCTGCGAAACGTGGCCATTAAGAGTAGAAGATACTCGTAAATTGATAGTATTTGATCACAGATGTCTTAGAAATATTGCTGACATCTGCTGGGATCACCGGGTGGGTAATGGTGATGTTAGATACAGGGTATTAGGGAATGATAATAAATCAGTTGATAAAGTTGTAAATCTACATCGACTGAGATGGTTGGAGCACGTATTATACATACCCAACCACCGGTTACCATGACGTGCAATGGTGACTAGTGTTGGAGATGGTTGAAAGAAAGTTAGGGGAAGCCAAACCAAACCGTGGCATCAGTGCTTGAGGTCACTAACTTCTAGTCTGAGCCATGTCGGTAGATGCAGACTACTTGGTTGGTGTCCACGTGAATATCGTAAGGAGTGGTTGGAGACTGAATGACATGGCTTAGAATTGATCAAAATGGTGTAGGTGTATACTCTTTGTCTTCCCTTAAACTGTAAGATTCCTTCATACTTTTCTTTCTATGAACTAATTCTTTTTCCCTGTATCATATTCCTATATGCAATCTTTTTATATATTTGTACCATTGACGTAACTGCCTCTATTTACTTAGTGTTCTTGCTGTGCTAATAAGATATGGTAACTTGGACCGATGCATCAACGTTGTAGCTGAAAGTACTGGTATATATATATACCAGTTATAACAGAATACCCAATTCTCGTAATTCATACAAAGATCCGGCTTATAAACATTTTATAACGAGAGATTATTCGTGAAACGTCGATCCATCTACCTACAACAAATTCAGGAGTCTTTTAAAGATTATTGCCAAATGCGTTTTTTTAATTATGCGTTGTACATAGTACCTCGTTAAAACAGTGTGTAATATGGTTTGTAGAGTTTCTTGAATCTAAGAGGCATCACGCTTACTGGCCAGAAGATCATACGGAGTTTCATTACTTCATTTAAAGAGATACTGGATAAAAAATAGTCATATTCGCTAGTAAAAATGTTGTGAAGAATCCAATTCACTGTGTTAATTTCTTCTGAAATTACTTTTGTCAAATTTTAGTTCTGTTTAGTTTCCAGTCATATTTAGTGATACTTTTTTATTGTCTCATTCTGAGTTTTTAGCTGCTGGTTCGCTCTCAAAACAGACCTTATATCGATTCATTGCTGTTTGATTATTTTCCGAACCAATATGTCCCTCAAAGTGGGAAATCGTTGGTTGAAGTTTGCCAGCCATCTTCCTGTGAATGCTCCGAATTTCTTCACCAAAAGTTAATGCAATGCGTTCTTCCAAAAACATTTAGTGGGTTTCACTTGAATGGTTACAATACACATTGTCTTTTTATTGACTGTGGGGGTCGGTTTTGTGCATCAAAGTTTGGAGAGTTTGTTCGCAGACATTTACAAGACGAAATACCTGCTTTGAAATTTGAGTACAACCAGTATGAAGTGTTTTTAGAAGAAGTTCGTTCCCTAATTTATTGATATGTTTCTTACAGATGTTGTCTAGGGTTCATATTATTCGTGTATTTACAGATTGTGAACTCCTTTTGGCTTTTTCTTACTCACGAGAAGTTATCAAACAGCATCCAGTTTCTTGTCTTATGATTAGTGCGATAAATGCTTTTACATATTTGGAACGTTTACGCTACAATTCGTGGAAGAGTCTTGTCAGTCAGCACTCAATCTTGATGGGTATTTTGCTCCGCGTGATTGCCGACTTTCAGCTTCTCTGTATTATCACCATGAAGTACACCCCTGATATTCATGTTTTAAATGATTCTTTGAGTACTGATACTGAGATGTTTCACTCGAATAACTCACTAAGCTCCGAAACAAGGAACGATCATTGGTCGAAATATGTAACTCATAAAATCGAATTAATTGACTGTGAGCATTCCTTCGTATCATATATCAAACATGAATCTAGTATGAAAGTGATAAAAGACACAAGAGTTTCTTAGTTAATGGTTATTTTTGTAAAATAAAAAGATTTGTTTTCCTACTCCTCTTGGTTTACTAATGTAATGGATGCTAAATTTTCACTCCATAGTTGAAAACAAACTATCCATATCTGTAACAAAATGGTGATAAAAGTCAGGTCTTGCTACTGCCAGATCTTTAAACATTATATATATATATTGCTCTCTGTTATTAACCACAGCTAAGTATATTATTTTTTACTGACCACATATTATCCAGATAGAGTTAATGATTACTACTCTGACACATTACTCGCTTATGATTTTTTCCTTCATGTGAAGCTCAGTGCAGAATTATGAATTAACCTCATTTTACAAAACCTGGTACATCCGAAAGTGGGGCGAGTCAGCTGTCCCTCTCGGAATGCTCTCACATGGCTACGCGTATACAGTCACTGCCAGGGAAGTCCTACTTACTGCCTTCTAGTGGCGAGGGTGTTGTTTACGAAATTGAGAGGACGAAAAGCGAGTGTTGGGCGCTCTAACCGGGTTGATGGACACGGAGAGTCCACCTAAGGAAGCCTGAAAACCCTGATTCCAAACCAATGGTTCGCATGGGCCCCAGGATCCTGAAGGAACAAATGGCGTATGAACCTATTGTTGGTCACCGGCTACCATGGGACTGTATCTCCTTACGATGCTCCACTGCCTTATGGATCAGACCTTTAGGTCCAAGGCTCGGGGTGTGGCCCCGAAACAAACCAGGTGCTTCGGTCTGGGCACCGGGGTAGTATCACAGTCCACACACAAATCAAGTGATTTGTTTGGCGCATATGTATTCGGTCCCCCTTTGTACCAATGTTTATGTATTTAAATAAATAAATAAAGTAGGAAGTAGGCATATTCACTTATACAATTTAGTATTTTCGTAATGCTTCTAGCGTTTGTCTACTAGTTAAAGTACTCGGATTTCGACATCCGCAGCTTATACGTAAGTAGATTTGTGCAGCTTGATAAAATAAATAACCCTCACACAAATAATGCGGCTTAAATTGAAGTACATAAAAGTGTGTTTGGTAAATAAGTTACATTTAAACTAAGTTGTTAACTTACAGCCCTCTATCTAAATATGCTTACTAGTCATTATTATTGTTTATCACCCCACTATTGGTTCTTTACGTGGATGTTTGTGGCCAAACTAGTGCTTACCGTAGATTGTTATTTTAAATAAGTCAAACCACGTGGTGTTTGCTAGTTCGATTTTGTCGTATATTGTAGTAACCGGGATCGGAAATTGGAAACTTGATCTTACTTGAAGTACATAGACAGCACAGTCCTGTCAAGCAAAGGTTTTAATCAAAGCCCGAATCCTTTGAGTACTTTAAGTAACTGTAGGAAGTATTTAAGAAGTGTTTTTCGTTGAGTACAAAGTGTTGCTTCAGGATTGAGATACATCATTTCATATTTATTAATAGGTAACGAATTATTTGGAGTCACCATTCCTGATGGAATTTTGACGTGGGGGCTAAGGGCTTTTTGGCAGCTATCAGCTCGGATCATTTGTGTCGCCGTTGAGTTGCTAACGGTAGATTAGTGATTAAAACACCCAGATTGCAACTGATAGTTATTGGGTTCAAATCGTGCTCTATTTATTACGGATTTTTCTCTCGGACAATATCGATAGCCCACTCACGTGAGAAAATATATTTGACTAAAAGCTGGGTACGTAAACTGCAGTGGATAAATGATTTAGATTACTATTGTAATTGAGGTATCTGCATGTTTATCAGAGAGTGTAGAGAGGTACAAGCTTTTTGGTTGGGATAATCAATGTTTTGAGATTGCTAAGCACGTCTCATGACCGATCCTTGTGTCACAATTGAGCCCTATTTGTATTTCTGTTTGAATGTTATGCTGTTGTTGGTATAACTTTTAACATTTTTGTTTTTCCTCTTGTTGCTTTCCAACTTTATTAATGTGTGGTTTGCTAATTCAGGACAAACCAAATTGTTCTAGACCTTAAAGTACTTATATTTACCCGAATTTTTTTAAACGAGTAATAATATATATGTCTTCTAAAGTTGTTAGCTTTTTCTTGTCATAATTCCTTAATTTATTTGCATTTTGATGAGTAGCTACACATCTATCCTATAAAATGCCACTTACAAACAAGTGCTTGACTTTTTTCATCATTATAAAGAAATTAATATATTTGTAATGTCTCATCGCGCAGAGAAATTAGATTTTCTGACGTTTCGTGACTCATTGTAAGCCACTTCTTTAGAGAATAAGTAATCAAATTGAAATTTTCATGATTGTTTATACTCCAGTTTTTCATAATAAAATTTCTACGTTTATTTGTACTTTTGAGCTATTTTCCCATTATCTATTACATGGATTTTAAATTTTTTACACCAGAAAGTAAAACTTACCAGTCAATACTGCAATTGTTATAACAGAAACTATGGCTTCGAGTGAAGACAACGGTTACATACTCCAGAATGAAGTATATGCATTGAAATGAAAGCGGTTGAACCTGTTTTGTGCAAACCAAGACTCCTACCATTGAAATCTGTTAAACTCTCTGGCTATGAAGTTGAAGATGAAATAAAACGTGCGGGAAATCTAGGATTTCATGGTCATAAGGCCAAATAATTCTTAAAACTCATTTGTTTTTCATGTACAACTTATGTTCATTTACTTCAGCATATTATAAAGTAGATTATGGCAGAAGTACAGATATACATTCTTTTGTATTCGATCCTTTAGTCAGGAACAAGTCGTTTGCCTATAAAACCATCAATTTAACAATATTCGTACTGGATCAGTTTGAGTTGACTTTATTTAGGATTTGAGCTTAATCAAGTTTAAACTGACCAAATTATCACTAAAGAAAATTTCATCTTCACTTCCATTGTAATCTGGTGTAGGTGTAGACTGGAAGAAATGTGCGGTCAAACCAAAACATGCAATCAGTTTGTGCAGTACTGACAATTGGACTTAGCTATTTTAATATATGTAAACTATCTGGTTGGGGTCTGCGTGATAATCGTAACCAATGGTTAGAAAATTCGAGTGACATGGCTGAAAACCGCTTGCGGTGGCTCCATTCCTTGTTTCTATTTAACTAATTTATATTTTCACGAATCGTATCTTCGATGCTAAATTTTCCCTGATACCACTGATGCTGTTACTACTTCTGCTACTCTGGGATTTGCTCTAACAGTTTCATTTCATTGTGCTAATGGGGTATAACAACTGGAACTGATGTACGTAAGTACCAGGTTCTACTTTATGACTGACTAACCTGGCTGTAATCTTAGTGATACATGGAACATTTTGTTGAAAGAACTACAGTTATGAAATCAGCTTAGGATTCCATACTATCTAATCATTAATGTTTTGTAGTAGATAGAAAATAACAATATTTAACTCATTTCTGTTTATTAGAACCCACTAAGTAATATGGATTCAACATACTATCCACTAAGTAATTAAAGTTCACTATTTCTTCTCAACATCAGAGTGCGTATTCGAGTGGCTTTTTGATTGGGGAGCTGTGGTCATCAATTTTCTGGTAAACTGGACTGCCTAATGCTCAAAACATAATATGCTCTGAATCCGTGTTACATCTTTATTTACACTCTGAACCAACTATACCAGAAGGATTTTATTGTTCAATAAACTCAACTAATTAATCAAGAGATTTTGTCATGGAGATGTATCAGTAGTCAGTCAGTAACAACGTAGAACTTCGTACGTACGTACATCAATTCGAGTTGCCATACCAAATTACCACACAAATACAGTTGTCGATTCAAATCTCATAGTGTTAGAGGTAGTAAGAGTATAAGCAGCAATCGAAAAGACTAGGGTTTGAAGATAGTATTCAAGGAGTATAATCCAGTGAAATAAATTTGGTAAGAGAAAAAAGGGACATGAAGAATTCAGAAGATTAGAGTTTGGGAGAACATAAAGAGTGGGTGCACCTGCGCCATTGCAAACGAAGAGGGATATACCATAGAGGAACACCGTTCTACTAAAGTCTTGTTTTAAACACTTCTGGCCGCGTCAGAATTTGAATTCATCCGTCACTTAGCCGGCTACATCATGTGTTCGTTAGCGTTTTCGACTCTTTAGTCAGTTTTGCCGTTTATATACTTCTAATCTTGCGTTTACTCTATTTTAATATAATCCCCTACTAAACTTCGGCGAACCCCATTGCTCAACGGTAGTGTAAAAAGTCCGAAACGAAATGTGTTAGAAAAATTGTACGTCATTCTTATAATTTAGTTGACGGACAATGTGAATGAATAGATCGATTACTACTAGAAAAAGACGGTAAGCCTGAGTCAGGATATATATAAAGATAGCCAATGTATATAATACGGATAACCAAATAGACTATAGACGAAGATAAACAACTGAATGATGTACTGTTATGAATACACAGTTATATGGAAAGTACACTAGAATCAAGTAAATAATCATACTTATAAGATATGTACATGAAAAAGTATCCGAGTAAAGGTTAATAATTATTACCATGAGTGCACATAAAATAGTTAGGGATATACTTGCTCACCTGTCACGTTACGTGTAGTTATTTTTTAACACTTCGCACAAGAGTCAATTTAAGTGATCTTTATGAAGAGTCACTTTGGCTTTCTGGAGTTAGTTTTCTACCTAGATACTTACTAATCTCATGTACACATGACATAATTATTTTCTCTGTCAGTGATAAAATTAAGTTCTCTGAACTTCTTTAGAAAACGGAGTAAGGATGGTTGGAATGTGATTCTCCTTCTGTAGACGTAAAATATTACTTCGGCGTGGACTCCTGTTTTTACTTTGTAGAGTCAAGTAGTTGGGCTCGTCAACTACTTTGTTTTTTTCTCAAGTCACTCATCCCTAATGAGTTGATAGCTTTAGAGGTCATAGTACGGATGCAAAACGGTTACTTGCTTCTAGCTTATCTGTGTTACTTATAAGTTCTCATTAAATGCTGTGACTTGCTCTAACCAGTCTATAGTTCCCTTAGGTATTTTTATTTGGTACGATTCTTGAATCAAAAATTCCCTACTTGTATTATCCACAATCATTTACGATTTCGTGTAAATCAGACAACAGATTGACTCATTGAAGACTTTGAGGGATGTCTGACAGATTAAGCCATTTACCAGAAACTCATCGGGAATTATCCTCTTCCGTAATATGAATCTTGTTAATTAACCACGAATTCTCCGTAGAATATCATTCTCTCTGGCTAGGGTATTTTTGTCTATTCATTCTGCCGTATATTGGTCACATGAATTCATTTTTTCAAGATGCTACATTGATTGTTTTGATAAAATCACCCTCCAAAATTCACAGGATAACTAAGGTAACGTTTTGTGGACATTCATTATGTCAACGATAAAACATTTAGTCAACAGTTGATGTATTGATTTGGAAGATAAACACAGTGGCTTCTTCTGAAGACGGTATATTATTTAAATCTCCAACAACAATTATTTGACGTCTCAACTTTTAAAATGAAAACGAATTTCTCATTGAGGGGTACCTTGTTGTGATTAAAACTTTCAGTAGCTAATGATCCTCTCCACTATTGAGATATTTCTGTGTATTCTATAATATTACATAGGATCCCTGATAAGATCTTACTGTAAGCACATATGATTTCCATGTTGTGTAGTATTTGTTTGCATCTATTCAAAATTGGTCTTACTTATTTAACATATAAAGATGAGAGATTGTGTAGATCGTAATTGACAGATAATGGTTACGATGAGGTAATTATCTCTAAATATGTTTCTTAGTCAATAGTGTTTTCATTCTAAACTTCTCACCATTGACAATCAATCTCACTGAAAAACAATTTGTAGATCCTGAACCTTTATTGAACAAAATATTAGCGTGATTAAAAGTCAATCCAATATACTATCTAAGCTTGGTGTGAAAAATGATTTTATTTTACCTTACTGTAACCCATGTAGCCTTTGAAATCTTGATGAACAAAACTCACTTAATACATGAACATTTTTTTAAATGTCATCATAAAGCTTGGAATTTTACTTAATATATGAAGTAAGATTGCTTTTTTGCAGTATTCCTTTTATGAACATTAGGACTGAACCAAGCATCGCGTCATTGGTACCAGACCATGTTCACAGTTGCGTTTCTTCCCACATGGTTCACTGTTTTAAACTTCTAAAAACAAAATGACTCAATAAGTGAAAGGGGTAGAATTTATCGGAATATGGGATCCTCTTGCTTTTTACTTTAGAAGAAAATAAGCTTTACAGATGCGAGCAGTTACTCCAAAACGTTATTTGTCCAATCACCACTTACTGAGGACATGTTATCTTTGTGGTTAGGTTTTTTACTTTCCAAGCAGGGGATTGTAAGAAATACCTAATTCGTCTATTTGTCATGAGCATTTACAAAGACATGATTTTATAAGCCTCTTCTTTATTTTTCAATTGATCAGATTCGAACTGTTATACTGATGTTGAGAATATAAATATGTTCAATCCAGCCCTGATTTTGAGGAGTAATATTCCTACCATTCATTACAACTTTGAACTCATATCTGAGATTAAACATTGAAGTATTCTAACAAATCTAACTTCACGGTGATAGAGTCTCATATAAATAAAGCATCTTATTGTAATCTGATACAGCTACAATTGTACAGAATAGTTAAAACAGTTAATATAATTCCTATTTTGTTATCTTTAATCATACTGAGTAGGGAAGAATTATGTTACCTTACATTGATGAATATGTAAACAATAGTAGATGTATTCTTGCATTTGTTAGATGAAATAATATATACAGGGGGAGAACTTTTATAACCCATGTTAGTGTGATACATGTAGTAATGATACTCTGTAGAACTAGATTTAAAAGAGATTAAGGTTCATATTTACCACATAAACACGACTAGATAGGTGTTTTCGAAATAAAAGCAAATATTGACAGGGATTATGTGTAATGTTATGTTTAAGGCACAAAAAAGAAAAACGACAGTTCAATTATTGTTCTACATCAACATGATGTAAAATAACAAATACTATGTATAATAATAAATATGCAAAAGGACAATATTCATCGCCATACAATTAAACATTTGTTGTATGATCATTAATTAAATAGGCTATTTCATGAATAGATGTGTTAACTCCATAAGTTATAGGTGAATGTGATAGATTCTCCATCTTTGGCACCATATGTTCTGAATGATCTGTTGTAATGATTGATGATGATTGTTGATCAGGTGAAAGTGGTGGATTGTTAACACTTCGAGATGAATGTGAATTTACAGGAGTACGTGAATTACTGTTATTGTTATTATCCACAGAACTATGTCCACTGATAATCGAATTTCCACCTGAACATAAACCGTGTGATGATGTATGTGTAGGTATACCATTGGTTAAATCCAATGTTGTAATTTGTGGAAGATTTGCTAGTAAATGATTATTAGTTGAAAAAAGGCAACTGTTATTTCCTATTAAATTGTTGTTACTTCCACATGATTGTAAATTAATAGATTCCGGTATGAAATCAGGTGGGGGAGTTTGAATTAATCCAGAGGTTGGCAATAAATTAGAACAATTAGTTAAGAAAGATGAATGATCCGATGATAACATTCGATGGTTTAAACTTGAAATGTGAGTACTTCCGTTACATATGGGTTGTAAAAATTGACAAGATGGTAAACTTGAACAGTATGTAGCGGAAATACCTACAGGAACAGAACTAAAAGTAAAAAAACAAACAAATAATAGTTCTAGTTATATTGTAAGCTTTTATGCAAATTAGTAACTTTCGACAATTTATTGGGGTCTATGTGTTTATTGTATCCATTAGTTAGAGACTATGTGATATGGCTCAAAATCTGCCACAATGATGTTTGTACATTCATTCTTCGTCTTCTCTTAGATTCCAAGTTTCTAAATCACATTAAAGTTCTCTTATTATTTCACTGATTTGTGTTTTCTCGAGTCAAGGCGTCGTTGTCTAGTCTTTTCCATCATCACCAGTACTGGTACTACCTCTGTTACTACGGGGTTTGCTCTGACCGTTTTATTTCAAACTGCTAATGGAGCATAGCAACTTGAACTGATGTACACATTACCGGTTTCTACGCTTAATATGACTGATTAATTCGACAAATCATATTTAGATTTTCCTTAATGGTCAGAATCCAAATTAAGCGTTACGAAAATGGTCAACGACTTCATTCAACAAACTGTAATTCTTTTCACAGGAAGAGGTAAGTCGTATGTGCTCACGATCATATGTTTCGGAACGGACTTAGAATCATTTAATAACTCTACCGAACAATAATAAATCGAACCTTTAGATTTCCAATAAAGTGATCAAATCAACTTATGTTTCTTCTATGCTCTAATCTTCATCAAAATATTTGTACATTTACATTATAAATGACCTAACTGAATAAGATTTATGACACAGAATTCTTTTGTGTTGTAGATTTTCTTGTAATACTGCTGTTAATATATTTTAGTGCCCGTGGTTAACTCTGTAGTAATTGGACTATAATAATTTCGTATATACTCTATCGAAAAATCTCGTCAATAACAACGTAAGTATAGAAAGTGGGATACGAAATTATTTGACGAACGTATATTCCAGACATTTGATAACGCAGATGAAATATATATGAACCGGAGTGGGAGAAACAACCAACCTAGTGAGTAAAAGGTGGTTCAATCTCGAAACATGAAAGTGATAAAAGTATATAGACATATGTCCTGCCATACATATTTCCTCAAAGTCACATAACTAAATGATAGAATGACTGGAAAGATTAGAATAAACGTTAGAAGAAATCACATAGGAGTTTATCAACACCAATTGTTACACTATCGTTGACACTGTTGAGTGAAGCTAACATCTTTGATGGGTATTATTCTCTTGATCAGTTTCGAAAAGAGAGTTAACTTACGTATTAGCACACATATCTTCTTTAGATGTTTCATAAAAACAGTTTTCTGATTGATCCTTGGGTATACGCATAGATCCCTGAAACAAATCAAAAATGCATATTGATAGCGTTTGATTTCAATAAATTAAAATGTCTAGATTATTTTGCAATATTTCATGTAGACATATTTGGTAAAATTATGAGATATTTTAGTAAAGAATAAAAGCATTTTAATGCAGTTTATTATGTTAATTCATTAAACATGTGAACTGAACGAATTCATTGATTAGTTATTGTGTAATCAGAAAAAAAAGCAGTGACTGTTAGACTGCACTGCATGAAAAAGTGTAAGATTTTTTTATCACGATGCAGGAGATAGTCGTATTTTTATTTAAAAAATTTATTTTGTTCCTGAAGATGTATTCATACATTATTTCCCTTTGAATGTTGACTTTTAAAACTAGTTTTTGTAGTTTTTATTTCCTGATACCCTTCATTATTTCCAAAGTATATGGTCTGTGTTTAGTGTTTACGGTTGTTAACACAATTACTTCTATCTATTCACCTTTAGTGTGGCGTTGATTTTTAATTCCTGTGTTAATGCGGAGTGTGGAACTTGGAGGGACACTTTTATTTAGGCGAAATCCTACGCTTTTTTAAGGGATTTTCGTTTTCATGCACGTTTTTGCATCAATTCGATTGTAAAATCAGTAGTGTAGTTGTGGTATTTATACGAATAGATGAGATTTTTGTACCTGATTGAGCGAATTTCGAATATAATACGTTCAGTTGTGTTCATTTAGTTCTACTTGTCTTAAGTTGAATTGTTTTACTGGGATTCTTAGTTAGCACATCATCCAGAATACTTCAAAATATCATCGTACTATAAAGATATTTTTTCATTTATTGACTGTAAATCGACGTTTAAGTATTTCATAAACCAGTATACAATAAATTAGTCAGTCCTAACAACTTGTACAGAAATATTTATAGATTTCCATAGAAATCACACAACTTGTTGTCGTCAGAAAGGTTATGACAGTAAGTGAAATGAGTCAGTACACAAGTAACTCAATATTTATTTGATAAAAGTATTTTCAAGTAAAACTTGAACAACATAATTATTTTCCATAATTCCTTGGTTGAGTGTATATAAATTAGTAACTAGTGATTAACAAAATTTATCTAACAGTTTGTTTAGGTAATATTTAAGGCATGTAAATCTACCTCCGAAAGATATCGAGTTACTGGACTTGGAAGTATTTTCATCGTGAAAAATTTGGCTTTTACCTCTTACAAATTAGATCATTTTTGTGACTAATAATTTATTCTAGTGAGTGTCAAGAGAATTTTCTTCACTTTGAAACTGTAAAATACGATTGCTGAAAATGAAAATGCGTTTATGTAAACATTTGTTCTAGACATATCTTACCTATACTCTTAAAGCAGCTCAAGGGTTTAATAGAACCACTGAATATTTGCAGGTAACGTTACGTGTGAAACGTTATAGAAAGCAGTTTAGCTTATACATTTATTTTTAAACAATATTCATCGAGATAGTTGTTGATTTTATTCATCTTGATGATGCGTCTGATAAATATAGGAAAGTTGTCTTTAAAATCTAGGACAATTCTGCCTGTTAGTCTGAGTGAGAAAGCACCTATAAGCACTTCAGTCAGGGTTCACAAGACAATTAACACTAGTGATTAGAGATTTCAACTGACAGAGCTTTCAGTTCTAAACAATATGCCCCGCCCTTTCGTTTGCCTGTTTCTTTGAATGTTACTATTTACTGCTTTTGTATGAATATTTTCATTTTTTTGGTTTTTCATTTATTGATATGAAGTATAGTAAGTTCGAATCATGTACATCATAATGACAGTAACCAATGGTGTTATTAAAAAAATAATTAGAACAACTCAGCGAACAAAATTTTTTTTTCGACACTAGCTGTACAATTGCAATTATAGTTCATTCACAAATAAAATAGTCTTTTGAAAGATAGAAGGATTATTACATAGGCCGCAAAAAGTGCTCTACAAACATACCTCCAAACGTCATTCCGCGTGGCATTCGGAAAATGAATGTAAATCAATCAATGTAAATCATCTTCTGAACTCTGGTCACATAGTCCCACCTTACAAGTCTTTTAAAATCATCTGTAAGGTCAGACAATTTGGTTGAAAAGGAGCGTGAATTGATAACTTATGAACTGCATAGGCGTTAGCAATGCACATGCAACAACAAATGCAGGAGAAGACGATCAGAGTAGCAGCAGCCTCAGTAGCAGTACGTCTCAACATAAACAAAGGGAAAAGCAAGATTCTCCAATACAACGCAGCATGCAACAATTGAATCACACTTGACGGAGAAGATTTGGAAGATGTAAAAACCTTTACATATTTGGGCGGCATCATTGGTGAACACGGTGGATCTGATGCGGATGTAAAGGCGCTGATCGGTAAAGCAAGAGCAGCATATTTACAACTGAAGAATATCTGAAACTCAAAATAACTGTCAACCAACACCAAGGTCAGAATTTTCAATACAAATATCAAGACAGTTCTACCGTATGGAGCGGAAACTTGGAAAACTACGAAAACCATCATCCAGAAGATACAGGTATTTATTAACAGCTGTTTACGCAAAATACTTCGGATCGGTTGGCCAGACACTATCAGCAACAACCTATTGTGTAATAGAACAAACCAGATCCCAGTGGAGGAAGAAATCAGGAAGAAGCGCTGGAAGTGGATAGGACACACATTGAGGAAAGCACCGAACTGCGTCACAAGACAAGCCCTCACATGGAATCCTCAAGGCCAAAGGAAAAGAGGAAGACCAAAGAACACATTACGCCGAGAAATGGAAATAGATATGAGAAAAATGAACAAGAATTGGATGGAATTAGAAAAGAAGGCCCAGGACAGAGTGGGTTGGAGAATGCTTGTCGGTGGTCTATGCTCCATTGGGAGTGACAGGCATAAGTAAGTAAGTAAGACGTTAGCAATCCATCTTTTCAAATAAACCTGAACTCTGTGTGCTAAAGAGACACGTGAAAGCCATCATTCTTCGTTGGCCCTAATACTTAATTGTCTTAAACGGTAATTTGATTTTATTGCATCTTAATTTTAATTATTAGTTTCTATGATCTCCACGCTTCGAATTTATTCTTCACCCTTCTCACACAATCGTCAAATAGAAAATTATCCTTCTCACGTTTGATTTCATTTTATTATCTCTCTTTAGATTTCGACTATTAAGCAATTTCTTTGACACATGATATGGTGTGATAATCCTCCTATCTTTCAAAAGACTTTTTCATTTGTAAATTAATTACAAATACGATTGTACAGCTTGAGTAAATGACAGTGTCGAAAATAAAATATTGTTTGCTAAATTGTCTTAATTTACATTTGATTCAGGTTTTAAACTGTTTTTTATTTATTCAATTGGTAAATTAGCTGTACTACAGTTTAGCCTAGAAGTCAAAAGCTCATTGGTTACGTTTTTGATTTTAACTGACATAGGTTGGGAAAAACGTAACATGCCATCCTCCATAAAGTCAGATAGATAAAGTTTACGTGAGCATTAAGATGTATAATACACATCGTACTTCCAAACACATGTATTCAACTAGCTAACAGTTTTAGAAATAAAATAGGAAGAGGTATTTTTAATAGCATAGCTTACCTGATCTGTACCATCGAAAGCATAACGAGCAAATGATTTATTTAAGCTTGGATTATTTGAATAACACTGATATGGATCTTGACGATAATGCATATTTGGCGTATAAGCACGTGTTATAAAATCTGAATTCACTACACCATAATCTTGTAAAGAACTCCTTGATGGCTGTTTAGTGCGATTACCTAAATAAAATAAAAATAACAATAAATTGTAGTAACAATAATACAAGAAGCAAGATTTATGTTGATTTCCATATTTTTCAATGAACTGGTTAACATAACTGATAGTGCAATGAATATCATATTTTCAAATCACTAGCAACATGTGGAGGAACAGTCTAGTGAATAATCCTGTGGTGTGTGCTACTTATATCGAGATAAGTAGTATGTGACATTAGTAGTGAACAGAATGTCTGGCAACAGGGGGACAAGAAGATCGAACAGTAAAGAATGGAAACAAAATGTAATTTGTATGAAAATGCAAGAACAATGAATTCTGAGTCATTATGAGACAATCGATGGACATTTAGCAAATTAAGAATTTATTTAATGATTGCTAGATTTTATTAACAAGTCCTGTAATTTTGTGTTAAATACATTCGATTATCCCAACTGGTGTTCTTGTTCACTACAATCCAAGTGTTAGGCGTATAGTAATAGGTAAAAGTTGGTTAATGTGGTCATGAAGCTTCTATGGTTGGGGAAATGTGGATATGTGTTAGGTAGGCTTATTCACCACCTACTGCAGTTTAGTACACTGATAAACAGAAAGTTAAAGGCTTTTCAGTTGACGTCGCTGTGATAATCGTAATTTATAGTTAGAGACTTTAGGTGATATGTATAAAAAATGCTTACAATAGTACAGATACATTATTCTATTTTTCTCCCATTAAATTCTGAACAGAGTATGATTATTTGGCTGAACATATATTTGTACCACGTTGTATCTTTTTAACATTTCCCTATCATTCACCGAATGACAAAACATTTTTGTAAATTTTAAATCCAACTTTGGTTTAAATAATTCCAAGGGAAACATGAGATTTACTGAGTGTTACATTTCTTTGATTTTTTTAAAATAAAAAACCCCTTTATAATAATCATTAAAATCATACAATGAAGATACAATTAATTTAAAACGAACATTCAAAATGTTAGTTTTATCATGAGTATTTAAAAAATATATATCATAAGTAAAAAAATATATCCCCAAATAATCTTAAGGCGAATTACCATTACATGTGTTTTAGCTGTATTTCCCACAATATCCATAAATTTTCATGTAAGTTTACTAACAGAAAGAAAAATGTTGGTTATATGTGAATTTTACAACTTCAATTTTGTAGTATACTCGACCTAAATGTACTGAGGATGTACATATATATCTTCCTCTCCCCATATATATATATATATATATATATATATATATATATATATATATATATATATATATATATATATATATATATATATATATCATATAATTATTGGTATTTATAGTTGTAAATTGAGGTAATTAGGTAGAAATTGTAAAATCATATTTATCTAGTTTTCATTATAGTATAGAATGTATATAAGGACATGATATAATTCTTTCATAAGTACTATACTAATAATTCATTTACTCTAGTAATGATATAATAACAATGACATGTTTAATATACAATTTTAACTAAATTTATGTACATGTACAGATTGTTTATATGAATATATGGGTGATTAGTTAAATCATAAAAAAATCTATACTCTTTCCTTAAAGGACTAACTTTGTATTCAAATTAGTTTATTTGAAACAGTACAAAAGAAACAAACCAACATAAGACTAATCTAACATTTAATTAGTATTAGACTGTTATGATACTTTCTTTTAACTTTCTTTTCAAAATATTTATTTATCCACTAATCATTTGCCAGAACATTCAAAATCATGTATTGAAAAGAATCAAATAATAATAATTCTATTTGTGATACTTTCAAGTTTTATATTAAGATTTTAAATGAGATATTAATATTGATATGCTGTTGTTAAGTGAATTAAACATTATTTCAATGTTCTCTCTATCAGGTAGTAGTGAAAACTATCATCCAGATTAGTGTTATATTTAATTTGTTTAAACTATGTTGTTTATTTAAATAGTTTCCTGTTTGTTTTGTATCATAATTACTTCAAGCTAGAACTTTTGAAAATAATCCCTTTCGTATTGTATTAACTAACACATTTTACCTGTCATAGATAAGAGAAAGAGAATATATATATATATATATATATATATATATATATATATATATATATAATAGACTTTTTACTAAGTATATCAGTGATGAGACTCCAGCTTAAGTAGACTAGATTAAAACATAACTGAATAATCATCTTACCCATAAGTTACACGAAATAAAAGGACTAAAAATAAATAAAAATTTAAGTTATTTCTATTGTATCCTGATCTGTCTAATATGATTCGACTGATTCATTGAAATATAATAGATAAGAATATGAATATGAAAGAGTCAGTGACAAAGTTGGTCTACATATGCCCAAATGATGTGATCAGAAGTAAAAAAAATCATTAATGTCAAATTTGAGTAAAATACTATCAGTGACTTTTGGAATCACTTGCCTTTACGGATTCATCAAGAATAAACCGATCAGTATATTTAGATTTATCTCGAACCAACCATACAGTCTTTTAGAAGCTGTCTTTTTATTTATAGTATTTAGATAGATAGGAAATCATAGATTATAAGATAAATATCTGTTTTTTAATTTTGTCATATTTATTTAATTAATGTTTTCTGGATTTTTCTTGTCATAGTTGATATTACTTACACAATATGTTGTGAGACTTGCTCGAATACTTCAAATAACAGCTACTTAATTTTGCATGTTTAGAGTCCTTATGTATAAGAATAGTTAAACACAAAATGTTTATTCATTATACCGCTTTATTCATATTTTGATATCAGCATATATATAGGGAGAGAGAGATCGAGAAAGAGAGATTTTGCGAAGACCCATAACTTAAACTATGGTGAAGTTAATTAATCAACAAAAATTTCATTGACTTACAGCAAAATAATAATCATAACATTATTTTACAATTCAGTTCCTTTTGTTTATATACTTACCTTTATTATAACGAAATCCACATACTCTTTGACGGCATATACACAGAAGTATTAATCCTACTATTAACAGAATCCCGACAGTGACCGCTGCACCGATAATAAACTGAATTGGGATATCTTCTGTAAACAAGAAATATATATACAAAGTATATTTTAGTGATAAAAAATTTTCAATAAAATGGCATTAGGTTTATATATACATATGAAATAACTAACCTTGATGACTGAGACGTATTAATTTCCAATCTGATCCATAGCCGTTCTTTACAGAACAATTATATTGACCGAAATCACTCATCATCACATGTGCAATATGAAGAACAAGTACCACACCACCGATAAATTCTTCTTGTTCAAATTTATGACTAATTAAGTAAATATCAAAAGGTAGTGAAGAAAATGAAGATTATTAACATGATTGATAAAGCAAACGGTTTAAAAAGTGCGATGATAAATCCAAGTTTATCACAACCATATGCTATTATTAGCGTAATACATTTCGAGTGACCTGATAATGCATTATCTTGTAGATCGGTTTATGTATGTTAAAAAGTGACCAAATAGGATTATGTAAGATATAAGATTCTGAGAAAAATTAATATAAATCTTAAGACACTGGATAATTAGCCAATATTCTCAGAGTAAATTTGGTTTAAGTACAAACTCCTTTAAACATTCTGAGAGGAGAAAGGTAACATTTCCTGATGGTTTGGCTTAAAAATACCTAAGCATCTATCCCAGAAAACTTTCATGGCAAATCGCAAAGTTAACAGTACTCTTATGATCTGTTTTATTTGAGTTTGTCAATAGAAGAGTCAGTCTTACGTAGAATTCATGATCGCCATTCTTTAAATACATATATATCCATATGCGTATGGCATAGGTTTCAAGATGTGACAGTATTTACACGCTGTTTCCACTTTCAATAGAGAGAAAATATTGTATTGTTTTGTTAGATCATATTGTTCTCATAAATGTCGTCTTTTCATAGGAATACCTGTTTCAAAGTAAAAAGCCTTATCAATAAACCAAAATTTATTGAAAAAACAGTTTATCAATTAAACTTGATTCTCAGTTTTTTTGGTGTTGAGTCGATCTGACAGTATATAGTTAGAATTAAATTGAAACAATTTTTTAAAATATACACAGCATACAATATAGTTTGATAAGTTTAAGTTAACATTAGTATAAAAACATAAATGTGTATCGATGATCAATATATGTCATTGCTGGAATGAGTGACAAAAGGCGACCTTCTATATTATTCTACACTACTGACTAGTAAGGTAACAGCGTTAGAACTGTTTGAAAATTTTTGGCACGATTTTAAGACATTTGATAATGCTTACCATATTTTAAGATGTAAACCCACAGTAAATTTGTTCTAACATCGATTTTTCCAATTTTTAGACTAACTAGCTAGAGCGGGGCTATTTGAAAGACTCCTGTTTTGGGGATTAGTTTTTTTAACGTAATCTGGAATTAAATCCAAACAGGAAAAACAGCCATCTAGTTTATAAATCTGCTTTGCATAGATTTCAACTCCCTTTATAAATGTAAGCCGTTAGTAAGTACTACTCTCAGATGAGAAAAACTGTCTTGATACTTGGTAACAAAGGCAAATTATTGTTTATTTGGTTCGGTCGGGACAGTTTGTGAGATGTAGAGTTTCGTTGTGGCATTTCTTTTATTAGTCATATTATATCAAAATTTGATACTGGATGGATTATTGAAAGCTTATTTTAGGTAGTTAGAATTGACTACTTATAAGTAGCCTGACATTTTAACTTTAAGATCATTTGAAGTCTTTTGCGTAGGAGCTCGTGTAAAATATATTTATTTTATCCATTTATCAGTAAAACCCTAGTCATTAAAGTTCATCCTCAGTACAATATCAAAGTATGCGTAGAATTTCATGCCATCGGTTGAGATTCTTTGAGCATAATAAATTTTCGACTCAAGATATAAGTTAAATACGGCATTTTCATGTCTGAATTATCGGTTTTTTTCATGGATGTTGTTTTCCACATTACTTCCCTGATTATCTTTGTTCCCTCTTACCCTCCAAATTTCTAGTTGACCTTTTACCTTTGTATAGAAATATTCTTAACGACTATATGTGTGATCAGATTGTTCGTAATTTATTGCGCCAATATATCACATAGTTCTGATAATCTTCAACATACTACACTATCTGAGTTCATCGATGCACATTTCAAGCATACCATAATATTTAACCCGAAACAACTTGACATACCATGTAGGCATTATCAACATTATCGTAGTGTTGATAATGGTCTCAAACTTTTTAAAAAAATAAGCTAGTATAAGCAAAAGGTTTGATTTCACTTTTATGAACACAGTCACTTTAATAGAATAACACAGGCAAATTATTAGATTTTTCCATTGCAAAAATTTATTAACAGTTCATTTAAGGGAATGAAAATTTAGCTTAATGGAAATAAGGGGGTATAGACAACATTTATTTTATTATTTGATTTAGTTTTTTGTATAGCTCTTATCTGTAAACATATTTGATATCTTTAGGTCATTAAAATATGGTTGAACTCAGTTTAATTACACCTGGAATACTGGCATCTCAATCACTATTATATATACTTACTGTGAATCTGGCTGGATCGGATTACCATTGAAATACCAATGCGTTTGACCAGAAGGTGGAAGTGGCACTGAATTCACTGTACAACGTAATCTGGCTGGTTGACCTAAATATGCATGAACTATTGGATTTGGTTGAATACGAGGAGGTTCTTCAGTGAAATAAATTTGAAAAATAAAAAGAAGAACTAGTTAATCAATTTTAATTGATTTTAAGTTCAAATTGAAATTATATGAGACAAATAGATAACTAAAAGATTGTGACGCTACAATGGAGAAAGCGGAATTCTGTAGAGGCATTTTACTATTAAATAACTGAATATTAAAATTTCAGTTAAAATTAAAACGTATTTCAGAAATATATGTGACAATTTTAGAACCCTGAACACATCATTAAAGCCAAAATTTTACAAACATTCAAAATGTTGTAAAGCTTTGATGCATTCGCCTTTGAATAATTAGAACTACCTACTAGTAGAACCAATGACAAAATCTTCTCCAACTTGTAAAGCTAATTGTTACAATCAAAAACTTCATTATTCGCAACTCAAACAATGACTGTGTAAACATAGTTTAATTAAGGTTATCAAATGATAAATAATACTGTGACAATGAAAACCTAAATGACAATGTTCACTAACTATTAATTACTAAACATCATCAGTCTAGATAGCCTTTAATCTTTAAATAGTATAGCGAACCTGTCTCTTTGCATGTTAAGAAATATAGCTACATATTTTATCATTATAGATATAAATGAAATATTTAAGTTCAATCATTTTGATAATCTAAATGGAGTTATTTATTTGTGACTGATGTAAACGAATAGTTATCTTGAATTTTATTGTTAGTAGTGAAGTGGCAAATTAATTACGAACAAAGAAAGAAGAACATCAACGTATTCTTTCGTTGTTAAATTTTCATTTATAATAGAATATGATATTTGAGTATTTTATCAGAATATTATTTGATTAAACATATTAGTTAGTGGCTTATATAGCATTGCATTATCCTTTTACTTATTCAGCTATCAACTCTGTCTAATAGTAACTTAATTAATGAAATTTTTTTCAACTTGTAAAATAGTTGCGTAATCCGAATAATATATGAATCAATAACTTGAATTCATATTATCAGAAGGGGTTTTGTGGAGATTTTAGTAATTTCAATAGTTGACAATATGTATTCAATAGTTGAAATCATGAGTCAATTGAAGCTAGACGAGGTTTTCCATGGTGGTCTAGCTTCACCTGACTCATGATTTCAACTATTGAATTCATATTGTCAACTTTTCCAAAAAAATGGTCAAATGAAAAGAGCAATCAAAGTTTCTTGAAATATAAACTATGATACCAAAATGTAACCAAACTAGCATATAGCCTATGTATAAAAATTTATTGCATTTTCTTTATATAATTAATCATTAATTAATTCATAACACAATGAAAATTACTCATCATTCATTTGACAATCTAATGAGATAAACATAATATTCCTTGCAAATAATGGGATTCATTTTCATAACAGTCATCTATCAATTAAAAATGAGACAAACTTCTAATTATTCATATCTATTCTTTTGTGAATTTCCTTTTTGTTCTTTTTTTTGTCGTTGTTGAAATAAACATTGTCATGTGAATGAAAAAAAAAAACGAACAAGGGAAACGGTCGCATATTTTAAATTAACAAGGTTAAATCTGTCAATCTTTTACAGTATATCAACCTTCAGTCGATATAAAATAGTCCTTTCCCTCAAAGTTAGCTTATTTTTAAAAAAGTTTTTTTTTCTTCGAAAAAAAGATCTATAATGTATTTTTCTTCAATGAAATATATTTCAATTAGTTAGAATGGCAGAATCTAAACATATACTTGTCAGTATTATCTTAATGTTCGATCATCATGTGTTGTTTTCATCTTAATGCATTAATATAGACGAAAATTCTTTAAGCTTTACTTTTACTATTCATTTTCGTGATTAATTTTTATTTAGAACTTATTACGGAGTGATTCATATAGTCAACTGAACTGATTAACTGTCCGATTACTTTTAACTTATGATCTATACTGGTTTGTATTTTCTTACACAGAATATTTTATTTTACAGCTTGTTAGAAGCAAATAAAATTGGTTGATGCAAAGCGATTTCTGAATTTTAAAAAGTGTTAGTCTATGAAAAATGCTGACTGCCAAATAGTGTTAATCGATTAGAGAATGAAATGTAATCGTGTTGTATACTACTTATGCTGACAAATCTAAGTAGTATGTAGTCGCAATCGAAAGTGGAATGCATGGCAGCAGAGGAGTGAATTAAATTGTACAGAAATGAAATCTTAGAGGAATCGAAATAACGGCAGAACTAGTGGGATAATGGAGTATGTAAAGGACAACACAACGAAGACATGCAAATGATGTAATTGATATATGATTTTTATAATTTAGTAAGCCTCCTGAGTTCTTTACCACGTGATGACTAACCTGAATGAAAGTATAAAAAATCGTACTCAGTGTTTTTTGCAAGTATTTTTGTATTGTCAAGAAGAACGCACTTAGTATCTGAGTAATTACTTAAGAAGTATGGTATAGCTAGACAAAATCATAACGTTGTTTTAGTAAATCGATAACTGCTAATTTCAGAAGTGTGCGAAGTAATGAATTTGTTAAGTAGGAAGTCCAAAATTTAACAGTAATATGGTTTAAAACAAATCTCGGTTGCACAAATACATTTGTACTTTAAATTATTCTATTTTTCAGACACTCATTTAGCAGACAGATATATTTTTTCTCAGTATGAGGGAGGGGGTCTTTGCTTCGACCCTATGTGGTGGTGTGGATGCTCATTACTCAGAAGTCTTGTAATAGAATGAAACGGCTGTTCAATTCCTCTTGGTGTTTATTCGTGGTCTAGCTAAGATCGGTCAACGATTTAACCAATGAAACTATATGTATTTCATTGTTTGTTTACTAGCATTGATTTTGCTCATATTGAACACTTTTCGCTCATGGTTTACGACGGTTTTCGTCTATATATTTCAAAATATATCATAATGACGTAATATTGTAACAGTTTTTACATTCCAGTATCCAACATTTTATTCGATTTTATATCTGAGGTTAAGTTGTAAAATGCATATATTACTGAAAGGATGTCTTAGCTATCGTTACAAAAATACTAGTTTTAAACAATATGATTTGACTTTCAGTAACATTTTGACAGAATTAATTGAGAGACTTAGCTATCTTTGATTGCTACAACTTATCATATAAATCTGTCCAAATTTTAGTGTTCAACCTTAGGAGATAAAATTAGATATGTACAAAGTAAATGGAAATCAATTTGCCATCTCAATTTATGTTGTTTGTATGATTTGAAAATTTTCTGTTATTTTAACCCAATAGTTTATTATGACTATGTATAACGAAGAAAATCATTACAACATCCTAATACTGTAGTTAATAAGTTATTACACTATAGTTTGTACGTTAGCCACTTTATATTATTTTAACATACATTTGTATGAATGTTGAATTAGTTAATCAAAAAATATGACTGAGTTAAATCTAGTCAGAAAATTGACCAGAAGTTCTGAACTTTAATTAATAGGTAATGTACTTTCATTTAGAAAGAATAGAGGTGAATAAAACAATTACATAATAACTACTAACGATTGTGTTATGGAGATCTTTTGCTGAATAATAAATGAATAGTAGAGTTTAATTATATATCTTCTGTAAATTTAAATCATAAACAACATACTTGTTTTTAAAATTGTATATTCTATTAATCATTCGTATTTAGCATAATTTAATTCATTTAAATAATGTTGGCAACTATACTACTTAAAACATATATCAATATATTTAACTATAATCAACCCTTCCCTTTTTTTATATTATGAAAAAAAGTAACTAAGAAATAAACTGTATCTGTTAACAATAAAAAAACTTTTAAGATGAAGATAGTTATCATTGAATAGACCAGACATATTAGAGAAGCGTTAACATTTTAAGTAACAAGAAAGAAAGAAAAAGAGGTGAAAAAACTATGTAATATCTCATTACTACTGCTACTACTACTATTACAGGAAGGTGTTTCCAAATTCCATATCTTTAAAACTAAATCCATTCATTCATATTTTTTTCATAAAAAAAAGTAATCACAATGATATTGGAATGTCACTACATATTTCATTATATTTATAAAATTACGTTCAATATATTTTCGTAACCAATTAAATAGATTTATATTTTATAGAAGTTATATGAAATCGATATAACCCTCTATATCTAATATATAGGTGTTTCATAAGTACTCGTTAATTCGTTTGTTTTTGTTTTTTCTATTCAATGTTCAAAAAATTAATGATCTTGCAGCGGTTCAAATATTTTTTTTCCCATTTTTTTTATCAGCTACATTTACAATGGAATCATGATTGATTGAATGAATGATAATTATATATATATATATATATATATATATATATATATATATATATATATATATATATATATATAGTACTATCATTTTCAATATCTATTTATTTGACCGAAGGTTGATTTTACAACTTTCACAACTGTTTTATATTGTTAAAAATATAAAAATGTAAGTTCTTTTTTACCCAACACTAGGAAAGAAGAAAAACTTATAACTAATAATAAAGCAAAAAAAGGGATATTTTTATCATAAATTTTTCTTTTTTTGTCTATGCTTTCTTTCACAAGAATTCCTTTTTTAACCTTCATCAGTTTTTGTAGACTAATGTACATCCCATACACAGATATACAAATATCTAATGCCAAATCATATATATATATATATATATATATATATATATATATATACATTCTATTCAGTTACACAATTCACCTACTGGTATTTTGTTATTAGATTAATTGTTGTTAGTGTATAGTTTATATTCTTTCTTAGTTAAGAATATCATTGCTTATATTTATGAGGATAGAAAATCAGCTATATGTATATATAAATTTATCTGTCTACAATGTAAGTAAAATATCAATTTATTTACTGATACCTTCACAAAGTTTGTGTAACATTTTAAATAGAAATGTACAAATCTCCTGTCTGAATCTTAGATCATAATATGAAAATCGTGAATTGAAATATCATTCCGTTTTAATATATATATAGGTATTCAGATTTTGTGTGAATTAACGCCATACTTATATAAAATACTCATCTATGTAGTTCTTTTTTCTTGATCAAAAATCCAGGACAATAGAATAAGGTTTTAGAACAAGCAGTTTTTAATGATTTCATTTTGGAGTCTTATAGTTTTACGTAGATAAGTACTTTTTATTAAATAACTATTGTGAGGGATATACAATATTGCCCAGTAAAATATGTATACACCAATGATGATAGTGGAGATTATTGAAATTGTTAGAAAACAGTCTGATTTATGAAAGAATTTTCACATTTGGTTTCATAGTGAAGAAAATGTTCTGTTAAATACCTCCTAGTTTCAGTTTCTTTGAATTATCTCTAGATTCTAAGAAATCTTTTCAAAAGTTATTTAATTGAATTTTAATTGTACATGTCACTAAGTAGGCTATATACTACATTGATTTCCTCAAGTTCTTGTGTAAATCTATGAATCCCACTATCTCATATTGGTAAAGAATGATTTGATCGATTGGTGTGCGGTTTACAAATGAAATTGATCGTGTGTTAGAAGTAGTTACATGAATTTATCAACTAGATATATCTGTTGGTTATAGATACCTAACTGTATGATATTGAAAATGTGTGGTCAACCGAAGTTGAGTACTGATGAGATCAAGTTAAACAAATCCAATTGGTAATCCAGCTGTGAATAATTCATATAAAATGTTATATGTTCATACGTTAGTTTGATTTATTTCGTGGTTTAAATAAATTAATATCAACAGTCGTTGAGTTTCCGCTATCTGTCGTAGGATTTGGGGTTTTCAGCACTAGACACAAGTCAGTTGAGAATTTGCGAATATAACACAATCAAGGAAAAAAGGAGTCAGTCAATTGTCTACCAATAACATTGAATGTAATTAGCATTATAAAATCGATTGGATGTTCAAAAAATGTGGACTACAGTTCAAAACAAGCTGACAGACAACAGAAAAGACTTTGATATTGTTGTGACTTTTCCTGCCTTTCCCTAAACGTTTTATTCATGGTTCGTTTTTAAAAAATTATGGTTATGTGAGATAAAATATATCGACGACTTCAAAAAAACATAAGAAAGCATAGATGGCAGTTTCCTTTAAATTGCTCTCTTTTAATATGTCTTAATTTCTTTTATTATGCTCTAATCTTTGCAAAAATACATTATTTCAGCATCTATTCAACATATCGTAAACATAACTACTGTACTTTTAGTAAAACAATAAATGATACCTTACTAAAACTAAATGATGATTGACACTGTTTTAGCAAAGTATCAAAAATTTTGTCATAGACGAAAACAGTATATTCAAATGGTGGTTGAACGAATGAATATTTTCCAAATATAAGATTAGCTTCTAAGGAAAAATCAACTTATCAAACATGTAGAATTAAAGGATTAGTTTTTGAATTTGCCTGTTTTTAAAGTTGGAGCCGTATTACTGAATGCCAGTAATACGATAGTAGATTTTCATTAAAATTTCATCAAAAAATGTAGTCTGCTTGAAACTAAAAACAGCATTTGGAATGAACTATATACACACGCACACACTATTAGCTCACTTCAACACGTACAAGTGCATTTGAATGCACCGACGATACTTACTCAAATGAATGAGATCGTGCCAATATAAAATGACTGCGCTTTATTTTTTAACTGGTTCTTCTTCTGACATTATTCAACAGTACATATTTTAAGGATGGTTAGCAGCATAATGAAAACCAACCCAGTGAACTATTCCTCTGAATTCACATGCGAGTTTGCATTATGCAGACATATTTTAGGTTAAAGATATTTTAATGACGGTTAGAGATTTGTCTCATCGTTGTAGTTATGACCGTTTGCAGTCCATCATATGAAACAATTCCAATGAAACTTTTATAAAAAGAAATGACTGATGGAAAATTGGCAATCTGAAGCACTAACTACTATGGTTAACTTTTATTAGTACTGTATTGCGTTCGACATAAAATTTGAAACTTTTTTGAAGAAAAGATGAACTTGTTTAGGTAGAAAATCAATATATGTAGTTTTTTCAACAATACAACATCAACTGAATTTATAATTCAAGCGAATAGAGCAAACTTACTTCGTCTAGCTATATACATTTGTTTGGATACAGGGGGGAATTCCGGTACAAAAGCTGTACATATATACGTCCCAAAATCTTCTTCTTTTAAATTTTCACGTTTCAGTGAAACACTGCGTGAAAGAACTTCCCTACCACCTTCACGTCTCCATTCAATATGCGGTGTTGGATTACCTATTGCTGGACAATCCATTAAAACATCTTCACCTAGCGATGCTGTGAATAGTAAAGCTGAAGCTTGATGAAATTGAGGCCCAACTAAAATAATCAGAAATAATGATACTTTTGAATACTTATCATTTATATGTTAAAACTAAATCATTTGCTTTATATTACATTCGATTTGAAGATTAAAAGCAATAGGTTGTATTATTTATTTCACCAGAAATTATTTATTAAAAGTAGAAGGGATTTATGCTTCCTCAAAACACACTATTCATTAACATCCTCACTAGTGTTAATATCTAATAGGATTAGACTGAAAGGAGTAAATCAATTGATAACGATATATTTGTGAGCAACGTTGAGTGATCAAGTTTTAAGTTTGTGACGAATCATTCATTTATTCGACACTGTATAGGCATATTTTTTACCCGACATCCAGGAACGTTTTAATGAAGTGTAGTCAAACACCATATATTTTCTAAGCTGATAAGCTTAAAAATTATTATCTTAAACAGTAAAGCAAATATAAACTCTCTGAATATTCTTTAAAATCTGTTGAACTGGAGTAACAGGTCGTCAATGTTTAAAAAGATATTCAAAATTCCTTTGCTTTCTGTTGTATTTTCTGTGTTTTGATTTTGGTTTTCTACATATATTTTGATTATATAAACTGATGGAAAATGATTTATTTTCTAGTTCCTAAGATTCGATACCATTTATTGGAGGAACTCTAGACTACTGATCAAAACTTTAGTGGCTTAAATCCAATTTTAATATTTCCTTGCAGCTTTTATATCATTGCATATTAATATTATCGATTGTATGGTCGTGATTGAAGTTAGTCTACAGGAAAATCTGGATATAGGTTTAGTGCTATTTGGGACACATCGCAAAGGTTAACGTGCAGTCTTTAGGGGACTTCTGCTCCCTGGTCAAAGATCTCCTATCGACTACCTCCAACCACTACCTTACATCTCACTATAGTACATCCAATGTCGAGTCGCTTTGAATAGTGGCCACACTGCGATTTAGTCTGTGGAATTCGGTCAGCATTAAGAAGGAATTGACATACATAGAAAATTGTAAAATCCGTATATTCTTTTAATCTCAAAGAGTTTAGATTAGCTTCTTTACCACAATGTTCTGTAAAATTGTGATAAATATCATCTATTGATACACTGAGTCGTCCGATTATAATGGAATTGTTATTAGAATAAACTGATTTATAAAATATTAGGTACTGCAAATTGTTAAACCATATTTTGATAATTGGACATACGATCTATTGTAAACATAAACTATATATAATTAAACGGCAGCATTGTGATATATAACCTAAGTAGGCAGTGGGCCAACATTTTTTGGCTGTTAACTTTTAGTTAACATGCAGTAAATTCTAAAATGTTAACTTATACTATCGAGGTAAATTCTCATTGGTTTTCATCAAATAATGTCATCATATATAAGAAATAAACTCACATTTAACTTTTATTGTTGTTTCAGCAACGCCTTTTTTATTTGAAATTGCAATGCACCGAAATACAGATTGATGTAATTCACGTGTTAATCGGAGACGATACCATGATTCGGCGATATTTTCAACTTGACGTCCATTTACATACCATCTAAAATAATCAAAAAGAATTGTGATATTACTTTTGAGAGAACAACAAAGAATGAATAAATCCGCTCCCAACTTTTTAAACTACTAGTTGCATCTTTTGGCATGGATCTTAGCTATGCAGTTTGAACGTTCTTACTACTTTCATTAAAAAGCCAGCGATATGATAGACTGATTTTGTATTGTAGCCTTTGTCTAGTTTTTTTTAAGGTAGTCATCATCTATTAGTTGGGAATTCGGTTATGCATGTGTAACACATGTACCATCAACTCAATCAACGAAAATTTACAGCCATACTAACAGATAAACCGTTTTTACCAAGTAACCTTCGATTAACTTCAAGATTGATTTCATCATCTGAAACTTGATCATGTCTTATATTTTGCTGAGTAATGTTTCACAAACATAAAATAAATATAAATTATGCTACTATACAAGAAAGATGAAAGAAAAAGTCACCAAATCGGTCGTTTCCTAGACTGTTTGAATGAAAGAATCATTTTATAAAATAATACTTTAATTCTTTACAGGAAACAATTGGTAAAATATCACATATTTTCTTTAAATTATGAAAGATAAAAACAGATGGTTATACCGGAAATTATCATTGTTTCAATATATATATCGTCTATCACTTTTATAATTTTAAAACTATCTTAACAAACACTGTACTTTTATTAGTCTCTATAACATAAAAATGTATAAAAATAGCCAAGTATAACAGACCAACTAACTAAAATAATAGTAACTAAGTAACCTTTTTTTGTTATGAGTTATATCAATAAAACTATGTCTGAAATACACAAAACGTGAATATGATTTAAAGAAATAAAACATAAAACAACCACTAATAATAACAATTACTCTCATTAAATTGAAGTAAAATACCAAAAAAAAACTAATAGGGTCATATTTTGGAAATGTTGTCTTAGTTCATATACCCAGTCATTCTGTCAATATAGGTTTTCCCTTTTATTTTATTTTTTTTTGGAAAAAAAATATTTTTTTAAATTATTTACTTCAAATGAAAGGTTAACATCTTAAAATTTATTTTAAAGAAGAAACAAACGAACAAACAAAAAATAAAGATATGAGTATGAATTTCACTGGTTGGAATCATGAGTCAATTGAAGCTAGACCATCATCGAAAACCTGGAAGCACAAGATGGCCGTTTCGTCTTAGTATGGGACTTCTCAGCAGTTCGCATCCACGATCCTGCCTTCCGCGAGATTCGAACCCAGGACCAATCATTCTTGCGCCAGGCGCTTAACCAACTAGACCACTGAGCGAGCATCCAACGGTATTAATGTCTTACTTCAACCAATCCACGCGGGGGGCGGGATCGTAGATGTGCACTACTGAGAAGCCCCATACTAAGACGAAACGGCCGTCCAGTGCTTCCAGGTTTTCCATGGTGGTCCAGCTTCAATTGGATCATGATTTCAACCAGTGAAATTTCTAAAAATCTCCACAAAACCCATTCTGATAATATGAATATGAAGTTGATTTAAACTACTTATTAAAACATAATTATTACGTAACATTTTGTTTTAACTAAAACCATTTTAACTATTAAGAAAGAATATGCTTTTTTTTAAGAAGAAAAATGTTTCTAAGTCAGTTTCAAACAAAAAGAAAAGGTGACAGAAACAGACTATTCACTTAAATAAAAGAAAAAAATAAACCCCGAAATATATTGAGACATGTTCTTTAATTTATACAAATTAAAAACTTAATTTTTAATTTGTTTTTTTTTAAAAAGAAACACTTAAATATTTTATTTTGATCTCATTTTCATTTATATACATCAGGTGATTGTTTATTATGGTTAAGTAAGCTAAATTTCAAAAATTAAATAAAAAATTTTTAAATTTATTTCTTCATTAGGTTCTATTAATTTTTGTAAAAAAGTCATAAAGAACATTTCCAAAAAAGTAGACAATACTAAGTGCTTTCAGGTTTTCCATGGTGGTCTGGCTTCAACTGACTCATGGTTTCAGTCGGTGAAATTTTTAAGATCTCCACAAACCCCTTCTGATAATAATCATCTGCTCACTAGTGACTGACTTCAAGAGATACTCCTGGAGTTCTAGTGAGAAGCCGTTACCAGTGGAGTTCAAGCAGGTCTGTTGTGAGATATCAGCTTACTGAAGACAATGGTGTACGGTGGCGCAACTTCGTGGATTGGTTGAAGTTAGACATTAACACCGTTGGATGCCGGCTCAGTGGTCTAGTTGGTTAAGCGCCTGGCGCGAGACTGATAGGTCTTGTGTTCGAATACCGTGGGGTGCTGTGTCGTGGGTGCGAACTGCTGAGGAGTCCCATACTAGGACGAAACGGCCGTCCAGTGCTTCCAGGTTTTCCATGGTAGTCTAGCTTCAATTGACTCATGATTTCAATCTGTGAAATACTAAGTGAATTTAAAACTTTACCCTAATGGACAAGCAAGTGACTATCAGTACTTAGAAGCTAAGTAAATAATTCGATGGGGTTTTGAAGTGGACGGTACTGAGTTCAAGACTTAGAATGAACATGAACTCTGAGATGCAGGTATATCTAACTGATGAGTTTTGAATAGCACGAAATATGCATCCTGGAATCCATTACTAGCCACTATCTATCTTTACTTATAACATTTCCAACAGTTTTGAAATTTTTAATCATTCATCATATTCAACTTTTAGATACAAATGCAATATTATTTTTTGAAAAAAATCCAAATAGATGACTACAATATTAACTATTCTAATCACGTAATATTTTTTAATTAGATGCTTGTTAAAATTTGATCAAAACTAAGACTAATGAAGATTGTGTAATTTATTGATATTAGTAATAATCCAGATACGATAAATATAATGACTGTCTTAATTTGGAACTTAATTTACTGTTTTTTTAGGTCATATAGCCAACCAAATGAAAATGAAGAGGAAAACTATTGTTGCGATATATGGACAGAAATGATGTCTTTTTGTATGCAAAATACTTAATCATAATGGTTTTAAAGAGATTTTACTAATGAGCTTGTATCATTCAAACAACTGTGAGAAATTTTTTTAAAGGGGATTAGTCAACTATTTCTTTCTGTTGTAAGGTTAACTGATAATATGCATCTACACACACTCTTCAATTAATGATTTACAGCTAAATGGATTTTCTAAAGTTCAAGATTGAAAATGCCGTTAAAATAAATACGATATAAATTGTGAATTTCCTGTCTGAAGGAATTAGAGGCGAAGAGTATTGGGATTAACAAACAAATTAACTAAATACACTGAGATAATGATGCTAACAGCAAAAACCAAGAGAGTGGCAAACTAAGCTATAAAGACACTTACTCCCAGAAGAATGAATCTGGTCTTCCGTGTGCTGTACATTCAACAGTAATAATGTCATGTTCCATAAATTGATTGTCAGGTCGTGAGGGCCGTACTTGTATACTCACAACAGGAGCGTCTGAAAAAAATGAGTAAAACAATTTTTATATTGATCGGTTAGTTCATTCATAAAAATAGAATTGACTTAGGATGCTTTGATGCTAAGAGTTATCGCAAATAAGTCTCAGTACAAGCATATTTTCACATTAGGATGAAATTAAATTTGTATGCTTCGCTACGTGGTCTGGCTAGCATTCGTCGTTAAAGCTTTACATTGAAGTAAACAAGCACTGTATCACAGAGCTTACTTTAATCATTAACTTGATTATTCCTCTTTTAGAACGTATGTTAGCTCGCGGTGATCACGCGTTCTGGAAATTTCACAGTATTCAACGTAACTCAGGCTTTGAATGATGAAAATATATAGTCACTGAGATGCTTAATTCGCCGACCGAGTACTGTTATATATTCGAATACTTCTTAAAACATTTTACATGAAATAATAGTATATTTGTTGGAATAACTTGATGAGTAGAAAATTGAGCCTAACATTTTCAGATTAAGTGTAAATTTCTCCAAAAAACAATTAGTAAAATTGATCAAACTGGTTATTTGTTCACTTAATCAATCACAAAATCTTGACCAGATAGATAACAGAAGATAATATCACTGTAAAGGCCACTAGAAAATAGTCTGTCTTCTTTCAACTATTATCATGACTAACATTCAATAAAATTCTATTTCCTAATCAAAACGGTCTTAATTTTCTGGTCATATTACATACGTAATATAGCGGACTTTTTGCGTAGTCACTAAAATGTCAAAATTTATGACGAGACTATTGTCTAACAAGAAATATGAAATATAATTTGTAATATAAATAATACATGATATTTGCCTGTTGAAACAACGGAACTTACAATGTACTTCAATTTTTGTCTGAGCTGGACGAAGTGTATGCATTTCATATCCAGTATTTTCTGCTCTACATTCAACAAGTTTGCCATGATGTAATTTATTTAAATGTGCCCTCATTGAACTAGTTGCATCAACTCTGAAAGAGATTAATCGACATCAGGATAAAGTCATTTGTTTGAAGTAAAATAGGAAGAAAATATTTTATTGGAGAATATTTTTATAGAACATAAGACATGATATAGTTATCAATGAAATTCTTTTCAAATAAGTTGTTTCAAGAATCAAGTAAATTCATGATTTTGATTGAAACTATGTCCAATCATTATTAATTTGCAGTTTGCTTAACCAAATTTTATCTCATTCATTTTAAAATTACTTCCCATCTATCTGTTTTGATTTTATTCATCACAGTCTTCAAATTCCCTTCAATTATTGTTTAGTACATCCTGTCAGTTTTCGAATTTCAAGACAATTACTACCTTAACTCTTTCATGTTTTCAATATCCGTTTTAAGGTTTCCTTCTTATGCTTATTCATAAATATGTGTATATATTGCTATCATTTTCGTCTTATCATTCATAGTTACTTGCTATTTAGAATAATTTTGTACTTCAATACAAATATAGTTGTAAGTAGGCAAGGATATACCATGTAATTAAATCAGTTCACATTATTCTACCTCATTTGTTATTCTCACTTTATTTTTATTTATTAAGTGAACTAATTATACGAACCGTACATGCCCAAGTAATTTCCCATATAGAATAATACTAAACATTTGGTTTAAATGTATCATGTTAATTCATTACAGACAGTTGCCAGTTAAAGAAATAATGAAAGTCGAGTTACACTTGACAACCATTTCGTCCCAAAGTACGCATCGTGAGCAGTGTACGTTCACAACTCAAAAGTAGTTTAAAGCTCCAGTTTCGAATTCTCAGAGACTTGTTACAAAACCAAGAAACGTGAAGTCATTCAGGTTAGGTGTGATCTTAGTGTTTGATTTCTCTGGTTGACATCAAGCTTAAGTACAAACCGCCTTTAAATGAAGCACGGTCTGTACAAGTTATGGATATGATGAACAAGTACTTAATCGTTTGAGTGCAAGGAATATATCAAATTGATCTTCTTTCACTCGTCTTTGGTATATAATCATATCCTGAAGAGTAATTATGTAGCTTATTCAATTTGTTATATCTGTTGGTCTTCAATGATTGATATTAGAAGATTACAAATGTGTTGACGAATCTGGCTGCTAATCTGACTGTTAATAAATCATGTAAAACATAGTGTATTCATACATTATTCTGAGATATCCTCAGGGTCAATAAATCCTTGTCCATTCTCGTAAAGTTTTTACAAGCGTCATCCAATCTATACGTGTCTGGTACCAAGTGCCAACTCGGTTAGCTGTTTACGTAGATACAACAGTTAACAAAAAAATTATAGTTATGTTGTTGTGAATGACTAAAGTGTAGATCAATTTTTCGAAGTTCCATTATCAAACTGGGACTTTTGAAATCCCATGTTCCAGAAATGGAACATTAATTGATGAAATATAGCGATAGTTTTGCCACCCCACCAACTAACTATAATTTAAAATATGAAGTCTTGAACCAAACAGAATGACTTTAAAATATCTTACTTATTAATAAACTTGAATTTATCTAGTTGGTTGTGAGGTATAATGGTGCGTATTGATTAGAGTTTTCAAACCAAGGTAAAAACGAGTCTACTGCCTTCTGGATTTTATTAGTTCTGCACCTAATTTTAGTTGGTGATGTTAAACTGGATAAGAAAAGCACATTAATTGAGATCATGAACCGATTGATGTTAGACCACCGTTGGAAACCTGGAAGCACTGGACAGCCTTTTTGTCCTACTGTGAAACTTCTCAGCAGTGCTCATCCACTCTCTCGTCTCGTGGGATTCGAGCCCGGGCCTTTAGCCTCATGCGCGAGCACTTAACCTACTATACCAATGGGTAGGCATCCAACGGTGGTAATGTCTAACCTCAACCAATTCACGAAATTGTGCGATCATCTTCGATTGTACTGAGGTAGGTCTCTACCCTACACGGATTAACTCCACTGGTCGCGACTTCTTACTAAACTCCAAGAATTCCCTGACGAATCTAGTCATTGCACATTAAATGCTTATATTTTTAATATTTGAAAGGATAAATTATTAATAAATAATAAATGATGTTTATCGAAATATAAACATTACTAGTCATACCAATTAAAGAGTAATAATTGTAGAAAGATATTCTCTAATGTATAAAATTAAATGAGATACATAAACATACAAAGTACAATGAACAAAAGGAAACCATATTTACATTTTCACATTATATTTTTGCCATTCACCCCACCCCCTCTGTTATTCTTATTCAAACTAAATATATTTCACAACAGGCGGTCACATTCTTTCAAACGAATAATGGTGAAATATGATTTTTTGTGAAAACACCAATAATAATAATTTAGATGAATTCAACTGATAAATCCTAAAATAAAATGAATGATGGGTTCTTTGATTGTTGTTTCCATGATGACTTTTTGGATTTATCTTTCATTTTTCTTATACTAATTATATAAAACTTTAGTAAATTATTTTATTTATGACGTTTTTCTATGAATACATCAGAAATTGTGAAAAAGCAACACAGTTTCTTTAATCATTTTAAAATGATTCAATATTAAAGCTTAAAATGAAGTAGTTTTATAAAATGTTTTAAATATTTTAAAAGTTTATATTATTTTTTAATAGTTCACAAGCTAGTGAAGAACTATTTTAAACGTTTACAAAATCAGAAGAAGTTTTCGTGGATATTATAGTAATTTTAATAGTTAAGATCATGAGTCAATTGAAACTAGATCATCATGGAAAACCTGGAAGCACTGAACGACTGTTTCGTCCTAGTGTGGGACTCCTTAGAAGTGCTCACCCAGGACCTAGCAGTCTCGCGTGCGAGCGCTTAACCATTAGACCACTGAACCGACTGGCATCCAACGGTGTAGATTTCTAACTTCAACTAATCCACGAAATTGAGCGAAACTGTCTTCAGTGAGTTACTATCGCACAACTGACTGGATTGAACTCTACTGATCACTGCTTCTCACTAGAACTCCAGGATACACTTCTTGGAGACAGTCAATAGTGAGCATATGTTGTGAGGTAGTAACTCACTAGAAACAATGGTGGTTGTGTCGCTCAATTACGTGGATTAGTTGAAGTTAGTACATCTACGCCGTTGAATGCAAGTCGGCTCAGTGGTTTAGTGGTTAAGCGCTCGCGCGCGAGACCGATTTGTCCTGGGCTCGCATCTCGTGAGGCGGGGTCGTAAATACGCATTGTTGACGAGTCCCACAATAGAACGAAACGGCTGTCCAGTGTTTCCAGGTTTTTCATGGTGGTCTATCTTCAATTGGCTCATAAACTCAATTATCTGAGTTTACAAAATCATTAAAAAAATCACTATATAAATTATTATTAATTATAATAATTTTATTCTAACGAATGAATAGATTCTATAGGAATGGTGTAAGTTAACATTAAATAAAAGTTATTGAAGACTCAATGAATGTCAGTTTCGTACTAGTTAAGGTATTCATTACTAACGATTGAGTACATTATTACTCAAGTCCAAACTGATGTACTTTTATGAGCTTGATATCATTAAGTTATTGACTTGTAATTTCAGACATGAATGAGATAATCGAAGGATACTTTCTAGTTTTTTATAGTTCTTTAACTGATATCAGACTTTGAATCCAACAAAATTTAAAAAAAGAATTCACCGAAACTTATTTAATCGACAAGGATATGTAAAGTATGACTGGCTTAAGTATGTTTCAGTATAAAAGTGTAAAAAAAGGTGACCGAAATGTGTGATATTTAAATTGTAAATGATTGACATTTTTTAAACGATTAGTTGTGTTTGATTTATATTTAATTTTATCCCAATATAATATGGAGCATATCATGGTAAATTAAAAAAGTTATGTTACCATTATAGGCAACGAAACTATCAAGGCTAAATCACCCCTCTAGCAGCAGATTAAACAAAGTAGGACTTTACATATAAGTGGGAAATTACATTCGTTACTTTACTTATAGGTATAAATTTAAAAAAAATAGTGAAAAATGTTAACATAAGAATTAGAAAGGAAGTAAGGAACAAATGATATAAATATGCATCAATAGTGCTTAAGATATAGAAGAAGACTAAAATTAGTAATATTTTATGTAACTATGACTAGTTTTTTTTGTCGACTAAGGTCAGATAGTTTCATTCTTAAGAGTCGTACTTGAAAAACGTGTTTCGACCCAGCGGATAAAATTATCAATGGATTAATTCAACATTCTTTTCGGAAAATATTTGATGAGTGTTAGCGAAATTGAAAGTTAAGAAAGAAGCAATGTTTCACTAAGTGTAGATTTCCACAACAAACTTAACAAAATAATTATAGATACCATGCATAGAAATTTTCCAAGGTAATTTAGAAATGAAACCAAATGTATGGCATTTAAAATCTTTTAGATAAATGTTGATGAAAATAAGGTAAAGATTATCAATAACTCATTCGTTTGCAAAATACCAGCCATTTTAGAAACTGCTCTAACTAAGACATTAAAACTAAACTAAGTAAAAAAGAACTTGATTTGAAAGTAGTGTTTGTCATTGTTTGATGCCGATAGATCAACAGAATAACATTTGGATAATACAGTGATAAAACGAAGTTTGTTAGACTAATGTGATATATTAGCCCGATACCTTTTAAACAGTTTGGTAACACATGTGTTTATTAAGATATTTATATATATAAAAAAACAAAGGTTCATACTAGACAAATCAGAAGAGAAAACAAGCACAATAAAAAAGTGTGAATCACACCACATTGGATAATAAATTATTATTATCAGAGTAAGTTCAAGGTGTATTTGGCTAATATATCACATAGTTCTAATAAATTCCATTTCATTAAAGGGATTAATTGTTTTAAATTTTTGAAAGAATAACATTCTCATATTAAACCCAAGGTTTAATATTTTCAAGCATTAAATATGTAACTATACAAGTGTTTATGCTAGATAACTAGCTTCAACTGAAACATACATTTATCAATAACC